AAGCAATATTGATAGGCAATATAAGAACAGGACTGCTGTTGAACATCACCACATCTACTTTCCCACCCAAGGAAGGAGCATTTTTGAAAAATATAGTAAGAGATCATTAATACATGCTTGCAATCGAAGATGAATGTTCTTTTTTAACATTCAAAGGTTATATTGATATTAAGAAAGCTTATATCAGTATAAGACATGTCCCCCAAAACCACTTTCCTGCCATAGCAATAGAATTTCCTTCTTTAATACAGATAGAAAAGGGTTCTGTATGGGAGACACGCATTTTACCCAAAGTGCCATCCTGTAACTTTTTTTTAAAAAAAGAAAACTTTTTTATATCAATAAATGCAGAGATCTACAGGGGGAGGATGGAAGCAGCTTTCCTCCAAGCGTTATTAATATTACTTAGAATTTAGTGCTTTCTTAGAATTTAGCACCTCGCACATGTTCAGACACCATTTTGTTTTTGGAAGCTTTCTATCATTTTCTGGTTTTCTGTGGAGGAAAACTGTGATTCTTGCACATGGGTGTAGATCAACCTACCACTGATGAGAGAATCACCTTGTGAAAACCCTTCAATAGGGCATAAACTTAACTATCCGATACAAATGGCATTGGATGGTAACTTTGAACACTGGAGAAAAATCTTTTCCACAGTGAAGTGTCATTTCTGTTTCATTTCTATAACGGAAGATTTTATTCACTTATCATGAAGCTTCCTTCTCGGTGGTCCAGGAGTGGGGTGGTCCTTAACTCCTAACTCCTGGGACTTAGCTCCTCCTCTCTGCAGGCAGGGCCAGCCAAAACTTGATCCTGGAGGGGAGGGGCTTGTCCTCTGGAACCCCAGCCATACACCAAGCCACACGACTCCCCACAACCTAAAAAGAACACTGTAGACCAATTCAACACCTCCTCCCACCCGGGAACCAGTGAAGAAGGCCACATAACATTCAACAGAAGAACATCAAACTTTATTTGGAAAAGATTTTTAACTAGAAACAAAACAACACTTATAACGGATACACCCCCAAGTGTGCCTCCCAGTCCAAATGTGCACTTTCCTTCAACAGTTCCTCAGAAAGAAAAACAGCACAAACATCCCCCGACGAGGACTGAAAACCGATCCCACCAAAAGGGCGGGTAGGACCGCCCCACTCCTGGACCACCGAGAAGGAAGCTTCACGGTAAGTGAATAAAATCTTCCGTTCTCCAGTGGTCCTGGGAGTGGGGCGGTCCTTAACTCCTAAGTCCTGGGACATAAAATAGCAGTACTCCCCAGGGTGGGTCAGATGGATTCTGGACCTCACAGGGCATGTTGGAGCACCCTTCTGCCAAAAGCAGCCTCCGCTGAGGCCACCTTATCTATCCTGTAATGTTTAGTAAAGGAATGAGTGGGTCTCCAGGTAGCCGCCTTGCAGATTACATCCAAGGATGGGAATCCACTGTATGCAACTGATGTGGCCGCCCCCCTCAAGGAATGCGCAGTAATCCCCTCTGCGGGTTCCACACCCTGAGCCTTGTAGGCCTCCACAATACAACCCTTAAGCCAACGACTGAGTGTGGACCTGGAAATGGCCTTGCTTAGTCCCGCCTTACAAAAAGAGACAAAAAGTCCATTTTCCTCCACCCCTTAGTTCTGTCCAGGTAGAAGCTCAAAGCCCTGCGAATGTCCAGGTGATGCCAGACCTTCTCCTTCTCATGCTTGGGATTCTGACAAAAGGAGGGAAGCACAATATCCTCTGACCTGTGAAAAGACAAGTTAACCTTAGGAATAAACGCTGGGGGAGGCCTTAACACCACCTTATCACTATGAAAAATACATAGCTCCCGGTGAATAGACAGTGCCCTTAACTCTGAAACCCGGCGTGCTGAAGTGATCCCCACTAAAAATGTCATCTTAAAGGTCAGCTCCTTTAGAGAGCAAGAAGCCATAGGCTCGAAAGGTTTGTGACATAAGGCTCTCAAGACCAGGTTGAGGTCCCAAGTGGGAAATCTATGAACCTGTGGAGGGTTAATAATGGAAGTACCCTTCAGAAAGCATGTAATGTGTGGATGCTGACCCAAGGATGACCCTTTCCGCACCCCCCTGACTGCAGAAATGGCGGCCACCTGCCTCTTCAGGGTACTTGTACTCAGGCCCTTAGCCAGCCCCTGCTGCAGAAAGGCCAGGATATCTCCCACCTTAGCCGAAAGAGGCTCTAACTGATGCTCCTTGCACCATACATGAAATACCTGCCACGTCCTACTATACACAGAGTTAGTGGACCTTCTCCTAGATGCTAATAGAGTGGCTACCACCCCTTCCTCATACCCCATGTCCTTCAGCTGCCTCCTTTCAATCTCCAGGCTGCTAGCTGCAACATGTCCGGTCTCGGATGCACCGTCGTCCCCTGCAGCAGCAGATCCTCTCTTAGCGGCAGCCACCACGGATCCCTTACAGAGAGGCACAACAGATCCTGAAACCACACCCTCTGTGGCCAAAAGGGCACGACAAGAATCAGTTCTGCTTCCTGATCCACCATAGCTTGGATCACTTGGGATTAGTGAAAATGGGGGAAACACATACAATAGGCCCTTTGGCCATTGCAAGTTCAGAGTGTCCACTCTGATGGCCTCTGGATTTCTTGACTTTGCGACGAACAGTACCACTTGTCTGTTTAGCTCCATCATGAACAAGTCTACCTCTGGTGTTCTGAACCTCTGGCAAATCTGGCGAAATACTGCTGTGTATAACATCCATTCTGACTGGTCCACTATCTGCCAACTCAGCCAGTCTGCCAGGACATTTTCTCGCCCCAGTACATGAACAGCCTTGAGAGATAGCACATGAGCCTTGGCCCATTCCATCACCTGAGCCGCTTCCTGGTTCAGTCTCTTGAAGCACATGCCACCCTGTTTGTTTATGAAGGCCTTCGCCGTCATATTGCCCATCTGTATGAGGACATGTTGGCCTGTTAAAAGCTTCTGAAACCACACTCGGGCCAGCTTTATTGCCCTCAACTCCAGAAAATTGATGCTCCTAGTTGGCTCTTCCTCTGACCAGGTCCCCTGAGTCATGGTTCCTAGGACATGTGCTCCCCAGCCAAACAGGCTGGCATCCGTAGTTACCACTATTCTCTTGGGGTCCCTCAGGGGCATCCCATTCGTGAATCTGTTTGGTTCCATCCACCAATGCAGCCCTTGCTTCACTGATGCCGGTAGCATCACCATGTTTTCCCTCTTGTGTGCTATGTCCTCTTGAAACTGAAGAAGAAAACTCTGAAGAGGACAAGTATGGAACCTGGCCCAAGGCACCACAACCTGAAATGAGACCAACATCCCCAGAAGGCAGGCCAGGGACATCAGCTCTGTTGAAGGGGTCAATATCACCTGATTCATCAGCTGAGCAATTTTCTGCTGTCTCTCCTGCGATAGGAAGACCCTGTCCTGTAGCGGATGAGAACCCCCAGGTGGGTCAGGGTCTGAGATGGAATGAGGATGCTCTTCTCTATGTTGACTACAAATCCATGGTCCTCGAGAACCTGCAACGTCAGTCCCAGATGCCGACTCAGCTGCTGAGACGAGGTGGCCTTTATCAGGATATGGAAACAGGGGCACACCCTCAAGCCTCAGAAACACTACCAGTGTGATCAGCACCTTGGTGAAGACACGGGGTAACGATTTTAGTCCAAATGGAAGAGCTCTGTACTGAAAATGTCTCCCGCAATAGGCAAATCTCAGGAACTTGCAGTAAGCCTCCCTGATTGGAATGTGATCTAAGGACACCATGAACTCTTCCTTCTGAATAAATGTGAGAATTGTTCTCAGAGTCTCCATCTTGAACTTTCTGGTCTTCATGAACTTGTTCAACCACTTTAAGTCCAGAATCACTCTGACATCTACATTCTTCTTGGGAACCAAGAAAAAAACAGAGTATACTCCTTGTGATCTCTGCGCTTCCGAGACCTCCTCTATGGCCCCAATGTAGATGAGATGCAAAATGGCTTTCTTGAGCAGATTGTGTTTGACTTGAGAGTGATTCTTTGGCAGCTCCAGAAACCTGCATGGTGGGTACCTTTCAAATTGCAGAGAGAAGCCATGAGTCACCGTCTCCAGAACCCACTTGTCTGTGACAGTCTGATGCCACTAGCAGGTGAAATGCTGCAGGCGTCCCCCCACCTGTAGTGGTTGCGGGTGCTCGGCATAGTCATGCTGAAGATGCTTTCTTGAACCCTTTTGAGTTCTGTCCTGCTTTTCCTGCAAAAGACTGGGCTTTCGATTCCCTAGGCCTATTCTGCCATCTTCCTCTAAACGCTCTGCTGTAACCTTGTCTATCACCTCGCTTGAAGTCCCAAAAGGACTGATAATGCCTCTTAGACTTCATGTCCCTTTTTTTGAGGGAAGAACCTGCTTCTTATCCTTGTCCTCCACAAGGAATCTGTCTAGTCCAGCGCCAAACAAGTTAACCCCTTTAAAGGGGACTGCTGCCACCTTGGCTCTAGCTGTGGGATCTGCATCCCAGGTTCTAAGCCAGGTATTACATCTAGCAGTCACACTACATGCCATGGCCCAGCAGCCAACTGAAGTGCATCCAGGGAGGTGTCTGCTGCAAAGGCAGTTGTCAGCACTATTTTCTTTTGCTCATCCTTCAGACTCTTTGGTATGCCACTGTCTGCTGTCGTCAGGTCTGAAGCCCAGGTATAGGCTGCCCTAGCCAACAAGGACCCTGTGGCAGAAGCACGCAGAGAACTAGCCGATGCTTCAAAATCCCTGCACAGAGCTTTTTCAATCCTTTTGTTGCAGTTTTCTTTGGGAAGTCCATCTGCATCCATCAGTAGGACAGATGTAGAAGAAAGGGAATTGATTGCATTATCAACTACTGGCAATTTGATCTTCTTTGTAGCCTCTGGAATCAAAGAATACAGCTTAGAGGAAATCGGGTTAGTTACTTTGGGATTTGATGGATGTTCCCATTCTGCCATGATAATATTGTAAAAGGAAGCAGGCAAAGGGACCCCTGTTTCCTTTGAGCTTGGCTTAGGGATGGCTTTGCCGGATCCAACAGGGAAATCTGCAGCCTCTGTGTCCTCCTTTGCCTTTGGAGTGTATGAAAGCTCCAGTGCTCTCAGAACCTTAGGCAGCAATCTATTATACAAGTCCTGAGGGAAAAGTCTAGATTGGGGCAGAGGCACCACTTCTTCCTCCTCCTCAGATAGTTCTCCCTCTTCTTTAGCAGAGACAGAGGAATCAACTTCAGAATCATCCTCAATGTCACTAAATAAGGGACTGTGTTCCTCCTCTCCAGAAGGAGATTTCCTATCCTTCTTCCTAGGGGAGGACTGTCCTGAGCAATGCTATCACTATATCTCTTGGTCCCTCTGGGTTGAGAGTGATCTGACTGTTTGCACAACTCTCTAAATTCCTTCTTCATCTCTTCCTTTAGCCTGGAGAGAAGATTAGTTCGAGCCTCCTCCTGTGATAACTGCGATCTCTGTGTGTCTTGCAAGTAGGTCTGGGAGGCTTCTAAATCATCCAGAGTGAAGGAACTCGAAGGGCCAGCTTTATCAGCCATTTTCTTTAGACCTGAAAGTGAAAGTAGTTCACCATCACTCCCCAGCACCAAATGGCTGCCCTTCCCACTCATTTACTACTTTGTGCCCTCTCCAATGGAGCCCATGGCCATTAGTCCGAACCGCCAGCCTAATGAAGAGGTAGCAGAGGCTTCTCCCCACAAGCTGCTGTTCCAAGCCTACCCTCTTTGCCCACAAAGAGCTGGAGATGGGGAATAGAGGGGGGGTAGGAGCCACCACAGAGCCCAGCATGCACCAGAGCAGACCGCAGCATCCAGTCTCTACTGCCCGGCTCCCCCCCCCATAACCAGGCAACCCCCGACCGTGGTTCAGAAGAGAAGGAAAGCTGCTTGGCACCACTGAGCTCGCCGCTGCTGGCTGCAGGCAAAAAGGCAAGGCTCCAACACCTGCACGGGATCGTGCCAGGTTGCCCTGCACCACCCATGTGCTCCCCGCCTCCAGTATATCCCCGTCCTCTCCCTCCAAGGGAGCGGGGAAGAAATCTCCTGCAGCTGGGAAGGCCATGCACATCATCAGAGGCAGGATCCCGTCTGCCACGACCAACCTGGAGCCTCCCAGTACTGCCGGCAGCCGTGCTCTGCACATGTTAGCAGGTGAATTCGGGAGGGGTGGGGAAGCACTATAGAGCCTTCCCCCAGCTCCCTATCAACTCATGTCTTCGTCTTCCAATTTCTTCTTCTTCTTCCAGGATCTTCGTGCTCTTCCAGAGCACAGCAAGATGTCCTGCTTCGAAGGCAGGGCTGGTAAGACTGGGGTTCCAGAGGACAAGCCCCTCCTCTTCAGGATCAAGTTTGGCCAACCCTGCCTGCAAAGAGGAGGAGCTAAGTCCCAGGAGTTAGGAGTTAAGGACCTCCCCACTCCCAGGTCCACTGGAGAACTGGAGATTCTTGAGTCTCAAAATGGCTACCAGAAGAAACCAACAAAGCAAAGAATCATCCTACCGGTGAACCGTTTTCAAAAAATCATTCCAGCCAGCCCTGTACTGTACATTCAAACTCAATGGTGCTCAACATAAAATTAATGGTGCATGACTGGAATGCATTACAAAGGGATGCCACGTGGAAATGCCACTTTATATGAGGAGTAAATACTCCATCAAATTTGACGTACCACACTATTTGTATGCGCTATATATAAAAGAGCATATATGGTGGCATGCTGCATTGCATTTCCATCTGCACAGATGAAGGGTCGTTTTCAGGGTATCCCAGCAAGTCAATGTTACTGCGACTGCCCATTAGCAACTATAGACTCACTTGCCCATATATTTTTCTGTTGCCCAAAATATGCTGTTGCAAGAGAAAAGTTCCTGAGGAAATGGTTATTAAAATTTTCTTCCTTTTTGGAATCTACAAGGTTGAGATTTGCTGAGTACTTTGTGCCACAATTGTATAATAGATGTGGCACATTTCTGTTACGCTATCTTTTTAAATGTCTAAAAACTTTTTAAAAGTCTAAATTAATCTTATGGTGTATAGCCTATATGCTTTTAAACCTAATAAACTGAACTGAAATATTGTGCATGCACCAAAAAAAAAAAAAAATAAACATGGGGGGGGTGCTGTGATGCCACTCAGGGCTATTTTTGGGAAGAAAAAAAAACACAGGAACGGAGTTCCGGCTGGCTTCAGAGTTGGCCACGCCCGCTATAGCCAAAACCTCTGTGTGCGTGGCTACAGAAGGAAGGCCTAGAGTGGGACCCCCCCTGGCAATTCCGAGGAGGGCGGGCTAGGGAGGGGGCTGGAAGGATCCTTCCTCGTGCCTTCCTCAGCCTGTCCTTTCATACACTCCAAATGCCTCCCTGCAGCCGCAGGCCACCCAGGCAAGCCAAGGGAAGGCATGGGGTGTGGCCTAATATGCTAATGAGCTGTGCTGTCAGGGGTGTGGTGTAATATGCTAATGTGTTTCTGCTGTTGGGTGTGGCCTATTATGCTAATTAGTTCCTGCTGGGCTTTTTCTACAAAAAAAGCCCTGATGCCACTGGTGATGCCTCAGCACCCTTGCTCTATATTCCTGGTTATTTCAACATGTATGGAACAAATAAACCAACTCCATGATTGAAATAATGTAGAGAGAGGGCAGACATGCAGAACGACCATACCCAAACCAATTCCGATGCCTGGAGATCGACTACTAAGAAAAGCTTTAATAAGCTGAACATGTAGAAAAGTCTACAGAAGAGACATATGTGCTGCAGGTATACAGCATGGAGTATGCAACACCAGCGCTTGTAATGCAGCTGGTTCTTCACCGGCAACACTGTTAAGGGTTGTGGTTTGGAAGGAGATGACAGTCATGACTTATGACTGACACCACTTCCTGCATCCACACAACCACCAGCTGGATCCAAGACCCAGGCAGCCCCAGTGTGACTTGATTTAACTGCACTGCATCCAGCTAAGTACATCCCTTGTCTGTCCCCCCATTTTTTCCTGCTGCCATACCAACATCTTCACAGGTAGACTTTGCACTGGCACTTGCGCCCGAAAGGTTGCTGGCCCCGGGTATATATACTTGGTCTTTTGCTATCTGCCATCCCATCTGCCATCCCATCTATGCTATTCTCTATGGTATATCTTTCAGGGGACTTGGAAGGTAAAGTGAAATGGCTGGATAATTTCCAGAAATTCAAACAGCTTCAGGAAATTATAATTTGGCCTCCACTTTGGGATCAAGCTAAAAGATTTTTTGTTCCTGAGGTAAGCAATTTATCCATCATTTTTAAAAAATGCCTTCAACTGGCCTTTTAAAAACTTCAGTTTAAGATAAGAAAGATCAAAAAGTTGTCCCATAGAGATTAACACTCAGGCACTCTTTGAGCTGCTCCCCACTAGAGATGGTGATGACTGTTTGTCTTAGATTTTGACCACGAGTGCCTGCAAGGAGGGCAAGGGGACACCCCTCCAGAATCCTAAACTTACTGATCTGCAGTTACAATAGTCTTCCTCCCACCAGTTATTTTTGTGATGATGGAGAAAAAATACCTGGTGGTCCAAAGGGGTCGGGCATTGATTCTCCCCAATATAATGGGAGCAAACTCAGTGGTGTGACTACAATTTAGATACAGACCGAGACGAGATCCAGATTTATAGTAACGTTAACTCACAACTGCCTATATGCCAGGAATTCTTTGCTCAGATTCAAAAGTACAAGTTGTGCTTATACCAAGGCAATCTTTTTTTGCAACATGAGAAAAATGTTCTCTAATGTAACAAAGCAAGCAGTAGTCTTACATTATTTTCTTATAGGAATTACAGGGGGACAGGCTTGTAATCTTAGCTGCTGAGGAGTTACAAACATCCTGAAAAAATATTTCTTCAGAAACATAGAACAGGAAAAAAGAACTTGCATGTCTCTGAATATATAACGTTCTCACAAACTCTAAAACGGTTTTTGTCCAGTGCTGATGCCAACATCAAGTTTAAATATTCTAATCCAAATGTTTAGTGGTCTTAAACTTTTGAATAAATTCTCCCTTATCATTTACTAATCAAACCTATATGATTCTCTTATTCTCTTATAAGAGTCTTAAATTCATATTAAGGGACAACCCAAAAGAAAGCATCTTGTCGCCTACAAAGAGATACCTTCTTCACGAAGGGAGATTAACTCTTGCAGGTAAGTCCCACATTTAATAGCTACCTCATACAATAGACAGGATGTAACACAGCTTTAAGTACTCTCCAATAGTACGGTGTGAATGGAAGTGAGATACTATCAAGCAAAAGCCTCTCTCTGAGTGATGCCTTGTTGTGCATCTGGATATTTCATTAAAATACAGAAGAACCAACTCATAGGATGTTGATATTAATGACAATCATGTATGTCTTTTACAGTGCAATACAAAGTTTAGACCAGGGATGTCAATCATATGGCCCACAAGCTAGATCCAGCCTGTCCAGGGCTTTCATCCAGCCCACGAGCATGCAAGGGTGAGAGAGCATGAGGTGAGAGGGAGGGAACAAGAAGCTGCTTGGGGGAGCAAGCAGGCAAGCCACTCCAGTCGTGGCTCCAGTGTGTAGTGGGGCAGCCTCCTCTATAGCCAGTTTGGTGTAGTGGTTAAGTGCATGGCCTCTAATCTGGGAGAACCGGGTTTGATTCCCCACTCCTCCACTTGCACCTGGCTGGATGACCTTGGGCAAGCCGTAGCTCTGACAAGAGCTGTCCTTGAAAAAGAGCAGTCTCTGTCAGCGCTCTCTCAGCCCCACCTACCTCACAGGGTGTCTGTTGTGGGGAGGGGAAGGGAAAGGAGTTTGTAAGACACTCTGAGACTCCTTTGGGTAGTGAAGGGCTGGGTATAAATCCAATCTCTTCTCTTCTTCTTCTCTGTAGCAGTTTACTTTAGCGTCAGCCTCCCTGGTAAGTAGGGGGTCGCTGCAACTGCATGCCTGCTTTCCCCCCCTTCCTTCCCACAGCAAGGCAGCTCTTTTCTCTACCCAAGCTGGACAATGCCCAGCAAAACTGGCATACCATGTGCAGGATGGGGCTGGAGGAATGGACCACCCTGGGTGCATTCAGTGAGAGATGCCCAGAAGCCCAGCGGGGAGGCTTTGCATTGGGGGAGAGGAGAAACAGGTTGTGGGGACACTTGGCCTGCCTGACATGGCTTGTGATGCTGGAAAAGAGGATCATTCCCCTCTCTCCCCAATGCAAGGCCCCACCCTCAAATGAGTCTCAATCAAAAAAGTTGGGGGGGGGGGGAAATACATTTTTTTCTTGCTCAGCCCAGTACTCTTAACTGTGCTGAGCAAGAAGAGAATTCATTTTTTTCCCTCCACAAAGTCAGGGATGCCCGAGAACCCAGCAACCTTGAGAGGATCTGCTTCAGAATCTAAGGGCAGATGCTCACTCTTCCCTTGCTGCATCTCTGCATGCATCAGATGCTGCAGAAGTGCCCAGGCTGCCCCAGCTTGGAGCATGGTGCTGAAGAGCATCATTCATCCTCCTCTCCCCCCAGTGCAAAGCCTACCCTCGAGCAGAGCCTCAATCAACAAGGACAAAGTTAGGAAAAATAAATTTTCTTCTTGCTCAGCCCAGTATTCTTAACTGGGCTGAGCAGGGAGAGGATGCATTTTTCTCCTCCAGAAAGTCAGGGACGCCACTCCCGCCTCCCATTTGAAACAGGCCAGCCCTTCACATCATAAGAACAACTAAACATACCTGGTTGCTTCCGCCGGATTGTGAGGTTCGAGGTAAAAACTGAATTGCTCCAGTTAAGCTGGGTCATTTTCTGACTGTGACCTGAAGACTTTGCAATCGGTTTATTTTCCTGGGAAGTTTTGGAAGGTCTGTATATCAAAACTGATTCTCTTTGAAGCATGTTTGTATTTTGAGTAAAAAATAATATCATTAATGGAGTTTGCCTATGTCCTTTATAAACTTTTTATCTCTGGTATCTGGTGTTACATTTTACGGCACACATGACCCAGCCCAACAATGTGACTTTTATGTTATATCCGGCCCTTGTAACAAATGATTTCGACACCCTTTTAGACTATCCCCTAACAATGTTTATATTGCTGAACAATTTATGTGCATTCATATTGTGGTTGTGTGTGCATTAAGTGCTGCAAAATCAATTCTGACTTATGGCAACCCAATGAATTAATGTCCTTCAAAGCATCCTATTGTTAACCACCTTGCTCAGGTCTTGCAGATTGAGCGCCGTGGCTTCCTTTATTGATTCAATCCATCTCATGTTGGATCTTCCTCTTTTCCTGCTGCCTTCAACTCTCCTAGCATTATTGTCTTTTACAGTGACTCTTGTCTTCTCATAATGTGACCAAAGTATGATAGCCTGCAGTCATTTTAGCTTTTAGGGAGAGTTCAGGCTTCATTTCATTGAGAACCCACAGTCCATAGCAGAGGTCATTTCGGGGGGGGGGAAGCGGGGGAACGCAGTTCCCCTGGGTGAGGTACAGGGGGGCGGGGCACATGACGAATTCCCGCCCCTGCTTCCGGCCGCCCCGCTTCCAGCCCTCATTCAGCCAGGAGGAGGCAGGAGAAGAGGGAGGGTAAGTTGCTTCCTCCCCGCCTCTCCCCACCCCTGCCTGCCTGGGGCCAGGGAGGGCCTTGGCGGGGCTTAATCGACACCCCGGCGGCCTTGCAGGTCCACCGCCGGGTCCCTGATGTCAGGGGGTGTGGCATATGCTAATGAGTTATGCTAATGAGTTCCCCTAGCTCTTTTTCTACGAAATGACCCCTGGTCCATAGTATCCATAAAACCCTCCTCTAACACATTTCAAATGAATCAACTTTCCATATTGTTCATCTTTCACACCCATACATTGTAATGGGGAATACTATGGTATGAATTATATTGATCTTGGTCGCCAGGTACTCATTCTTACACTTAAGAATCTTTTCTAGCTCCTTCATGGCTGCCCTTTCCAGTCTCAATCTCCTCCTGACTTCTTGGGTGCAGTCTCTTTTTTGGTTGATGATGGAGCCAAATAATAGAAAACGTTTAGCTATTTCAATTTCTTCTTCATCAACCTTAAAGCTGTGTAATTTCCTGGTAGTCATTACTTTTGTCTTCTTGATGCTCAGCTATAATCCTGCTTTGGCACTTTCTGCTTTATGGTGTTATGGCAGATGTAAAACAGAAGTAATAAGCAAAACTTCTAGCATTTAAAGATTCCTTTTGTTTCTTGCAGGAGGATTATATTATGTCCAATTATTTTTCACTTTAGCTTCAATACTAAAATATTTTGAGGCTTATTAGTGGGGGTAAATTGAAATTAACACAGAATGTTTCCCCTTTCACAGAGAGCATTCTGTTCTTTGTAATACAATCAAACGCAGGCTGTGATCAGACGTGCAGTTTGATCTGTTGCCATTCCCTTGTGGATTTAAAATGCACGATCAGACAGCAACATCTGTCTGTCGTGCCCCAGTCGTCTGTGTCCCATCCCCCCCCCCTTACCATGTGTTTGATATCTGTGAAAGTCTGGTCCTTTGGGGCTGAGCTGGTTTCCAACTGGATTTCTTGTTGTCTGATCGCTTTGTTGGGCACCCAAGCCATCAGGCAAGTCTGACTGGTCTCTTGTTTTTCAACCGCCATTTTTTTTACTAGTTAGTGAAGGGTGCATAACTGCATAGTCACACCTCTCTCTCTCTCCCCCTCTCCCACAGGGGCTGCTCTAAACTTTCTTTTCTTCATAAAAATGTTCAAAGAAAGATGCCCCTGTACTTCTGCTTTTTTCTGTGCTTTGGGGAAGGAGTAAATTGAAAAGTTTAGAGAGGGAGACTACATGTCCCAGCAGGCGGATCAGCGCTTATGCGCACGCTCAGAGGACAAACTTTTTTTAAAAATGGCCAACAGCCCCATGAACTACATATCCCAGGAGGCATATCAGCGCTTGTGGGCATGCTCAAGGGAGAAACTATTTTTTAAAATGACCGACAGCAACAGTCCTTGGCTGCCGGGTCTGATATGTGTCTGATCGATCAAGAATGGGATAAAGGGGTGAGTCTGATCATTATTCTCTGTTACAAAATACCCCGAATCAATTAGAGGCGGATTAAAATGCCCATCTGACTGCAACCCCAGAAAAGCTTGCAGAATTCTGAAATTAGAAAACTGATAATGTATTAAATAAACTTCCAAACTATTTTAGTCATACAGATTCAAAAGCAAGCAGCAGTGAGGAATGCATGTTATCAGTTTTGTAAAAACATACAACTCTCTGCTTCTCCTTCAGAACATACAAGACTCATTGACATCTACTTGTTTTTATTCGACGATTTGCTTTTGATTACAAAACTTAACCGGCACAAAAAGGTAACAAAAAAATTGGTTACAGCTGCCACATACACATATCTGTAGAAGTAACAAATGCTTTAGAAAATATTTTAATTATTTTAAAAATTAAAAATGTTAAGGGTTTCTATGTAGATAGGTATTGCTAATATAGTGACTGTACAAAAGCAAAAAATTGAAGAATGGGATACGGTGAGTCTATCATAAATATTACATCTCCTAGATGACAACTTCTGATAGTATTACACATGCATGCTGCCCTGAGCTTCTTAGGGGATGGAGTTAAACATTAAATAGCTTACAAAATACAAATTTCTTTTATAGCTGTGCAGTATTTTCTCCAAGAGGACAGCTTCTACTATGTCCTGTGGCGTTTTAAAAAAGGAGAAACAGTCAGCCTCTTTAGGAATGGTAGTGACAACAGTCATAAGGAAGAATGTAATTGTGGCAATAAAAGGAATGAAAGTCAGGTCAAGGCAGTAAAGAGGCACCAAGGAGTTTGGGAAATTTGAGATGACATCACAAAGTTGCAAATCTTTTTCAATATCTCCCTTCACTGGATAAAATAAGAAGCAGATAAATGGAACATAGATCGATTGATGTTGACCGGACTCATAAAAACCCTGTGTATGATTGCTGAGAAACCAACATGTAAATGTAAAAAATACTGAAAACTTCCATTGTTTTGTGTTAAAATAACATCCCTCAGAGGGGGTTTCTCTCTTCCCTACTTGTAATGTTGTTGTCACACTGATATTTTCCTTCATTAGGCACCTTGCTGCTTCTTTTGACTGGATGTTCTCTAAGGTAACAAATCAATGCTGAACATTGTATAAGTTAACACATATGCTGAGTTTTTCATTGTGTTTGTTACTGTGAATGCTTGGAAGAAAAGTTCAGGAAAGCAATTTCTCCTTTTCTCATTCCTTTTTGTAAAACAAATGAAGTTAAATGGGCTTTGTTCCCCCTACTACCACATTTTGCTTGGAAATTTGCCATTTCTGTTGTAGTCTAGAACATATACACAGTAAGATGTTTATGCAGTCTAACTTTTTTATTTCAGAAATCTGCATGTTCCAACATGAGTTTAATACCTGTCTGCCCTTTCTTCACACCCGAGTTGCAATCTTTGCTTGAAGAAGGTGGTTCTTGCACAGTGCTGAACCAGCCTATTCCATTAGACAGGCTGATTGTAAAAAACATTGATTCAGTCCACGTAACAGGTACACATTAAATATGTTCTACATATGGCATAATTAAGATGGTAAATATTAAGCAGAGGTATGGTGTACATGCAGTGCTAAGCATTTTGTATATGCATTTCAAGAAGCTCTCTTTTAAGCAATCAAAAATCAGACAAAGCAGTCCAGCAAGGAATGCAAAACCAAAGCAGAAAACCTAGCTGGCTAATCTACTGTGTGTAGCTCTGGCATCTCAGCTGGCATTCATGATCAGCAGAGTCTCCAACAGCATAACAGCGGGATGGAAGTTCTCTTCTGTATAGGTGTGTGTGTGTGTTCTATACTAAGTATTTTACATAGCTATTCTTATGCTAGCAATTGCCCTCAGCCCATTAACCATCCAGCCAATTAGAAAGCTGCTTCCAGGATAGATCCCCAGATTGCAAACCACTTCAGATGACAGTTTACAGCTGCTCTTAGTTAATCACTTCTGCCAACCTAAGCAACAATCCTGATAGCAAACTGGCATGGGAGTTAATGGCCTCTATAGCCAAGAAAGTTAACACCTAGGTAGAAAAATTCTCTTAAAGGAGACCAGTTTCGTGCTATGTTTAGAACTTTAAGATGGCAGGGACAGGCTGTTTAGAGATCATGGGAAACTCTCTTACCAACTGTCAATATTTTTCTTAGTTTTAGGACTACGAAACACTTTTCTAATACAGCAAGAAAACCAGTATCAACAGTGCATAGCAGCTTTCTTAATACAAGCACAGTCTGAGTCAGTCAAGGTAGGCATCTTAGTTTATAAACTTTACTTTAAGAAATCACATGTAACCACACAAGGGACTAATTTAAAAATACATTACTAACTGATTGAGCTATTATATCTGCCTACTATGCTTGTGCACTGTTACTACCACACCTGAACGAGAGACCTCCTTAAAGTTTACCATAAACAGTGCTGTTGACATTGAAATGCCAGGTAATGTAAAACCCTCAAGGTTTCTGTAAAAAAGAATATGGTAGAGGAAGCAAAACCAGCTCTGTTTTCATACTGGAAGAGAATCTGCTTATTAGAGAACAACTTTTAATTACAATGGCAATTTTTAAACCACCTGCACTACATGGAAAATTAAACTATAGTTTATTATCTATATTGATAAATTAGGTTACTTGTGTCATTAAAACAAAGTTTACAGAATATTATTTTCTATTGCAGAAAACATGGATGTCACAGATGGAGACTGCGATGTCAGATTATGCAAAGAGACACACAACCCCCCAAAACTCATTTTTAAGCTTACCAGCTGAATCAACTGAAATTTAATTGTTGTTATTTGTAAAATGATGGGCATTGGTAATAATAGGCTTACTTTTTTAGAGCAAGCCTTTGGATGTTTGCAAATATTTCTGGGAGAGTATTATTCCCCGAGTGGAAATTAGAAAGAAAGAAAAAGGATTATTTGGATGGCCAAGCACCGATTACAATTCTCTGAGGAAGAATTTTCAAGTGTCCTGCTACAATTCTGCTTTTTACTGGTAAGCAAAAAAGGAGAACTTGGAAAAAGCAACACTTGCTTTGGCAGTATATACTAAAATTGGAAAAGTTATAATACCCAAAGAGGAAAAAAGACTATCACGAAATCAACAACTCTTAAATTGTCTTAATTTCCTCTGCAGTCCCGTTTATGGCAGCAGTAATCACAAATCACACATTTATTTATGGTTAAAAGAAATGCTTCTAGAATGTATTTCACTAGGATACCACTGAATATCACCTACACTGTTTTCTTACTTCAGAAATCAATTTTCCAAACCTACAGATGTTCATCAACTAGCCATCTACCATTGACATTCAAAAAAGTTCCCCTTGTTTTATTTTTTTCTACACAAATTCATTTTTGATGCAGAGTAAACATCAGGAGTTCAATGTCCACGATGCACAGCTTGCAAGAAGAGTTGTGATGTCTTCCTGGGTCAAGTCTCTTTTACAAACTTCACCTCAACAGACATTTTTTCACTTTCCCACAGTCTCCACTGCACCAGAGATCAACAAGAATAATGTTTTGGGATAGATTTTTTGTTTTGGATTTAAAAATCCACACAAGTCTGCAGCTGTTAACTGAGGTTTGAGCTAACTTGACTTAAGACAAGTTTGTTTTTCTTTAAAAAGAGAGATGAAAGTTTACTTCAAACAGCACACTCTGTGGCAAATATTAACAGTTAACATGGAGATATATGATTTCAGTTTTAAAACCATTCATGCTAGCAGGCAGGGGGCCTTTTCCCAGGCTATGTTTTGTACTATGTTACACCCTGGTTAAACCGTTACAACTAATCCACAGGACCCAGGTATAATTCAGCAACATTCTGTTTCAGGCTGTACCCTTGAAGTTACGTTCCTGTTAAGCTAACACATTTATCACAATATTATTTCTGCTTCCCAGCTTAAAACTGTCCCAAGCCTGTCAAAATTCAACTGACTCTTTGCTTCACCTAGCCCATCACTCCTATGAGTTGATGGAGGCCTGCTGAGATTGTTCTTCAGTTTCGGGGGGGGGGGGGCTGTCTGCCACTTTTAGCAACTAAAGTTGGCACTAGCAGAATGGAGAAACAAAGCGAGACTGCTAGAAACACAGCAACAGGATGGCTGGTGCTGAAAACTGCTTCCACATAGGTTTGTTGGATCACATGGGAAGCACCCACAATGTTACTGTACCTTCACGATGCTAGCAGAACTAGTATTTGGATACTTTGCACATGAGCTGGACCAACAACAGAAACACTTTTCAGTGATACCTTGACATAACTGTTAGAATCTGCATTGTGTTTGCTTTTAGCAGCTCCTTAGAACTAACAACTATTTTCACAATCAAGCATAACACACATCTACACCACAAAATCAGGGTCAGGGAAATGTTTTGGATATTTTAAAAAAGACTTATAGTTTTCTACACTGGCAAGTACACAGTAAATTAATCATTGCAAACCATCTAATAGAAATGTCTAATTTTATTTTCAGCCCAATAACAGATTAGAATACAAAAGTAACATGTTCACAATTATCCACCATGTGTTTCATACAGAATTAGCTGATGCAAGGTGTCATTTTCTTTTCCTCGGCTTTCATGACTTTCCAAATGTAGAGTTTAGGGATTACAGTGCATACTGAACTAAACCCTTTCACAATATAAGGCACAACTACATGACAACAAGTCATAAACACGCCACTGAAAGGAGGACTTAAGAGAATCCAACTTATAAAAATAGTCATGCAAGACTATCTACAGATCGTATGACTGCAAGAGTCCAGTTTAAAAAGAAGTGCAATGTAATTTATCTAATTTTTCCTTAATACATTTCCTGTAAATATAAAGGTAAGCACAGAAATCATCCCATTTTAATTTATACAGTTATACAGAAAAATCAGTAAATATTATGCACAATATTCACATCTGCGACCATAATAAACCAATTATTAGAAAGAGGCCAACAGGACAGGACAGCTTGTGGCACACATTCATTATAGTGTAATATCATTTGTCAACCTTGTCTACAGCTCTGAAAAAAGAGGCTAATATAATGGCACATAAATGTTAATGGTAGCCTGTTGCCAACATGACATACACAGCTGATATAGTCCAACAAACCATAGCTAGGACAGTTTGTGTTGATAATTTAACTCCTGTCCAACTGCTACAGGGTGGTGGTTGTTTTTTAAGAACTAAGACTAAGTGCATCAATCATAATTTGAAACTACTTAATACACATACATACCGAAATATTAAATTTTTGGTAAGACAAAACACTTGCAAATTTGGCAGTCATCACAAATTATACTTATACTTAACAATATAGTGAGGAAGGAAACCCTATCAAAATGAGCTTTAGTTGAATTTCATATCCAGAGGTAGTTAAATGAAATCTTATATAGAGTCATCAAGTGTCGGATTGAATTTTATTTTTTAAAAAACAATTTTCTTACAAAAGTGACAAATCCTATACAAGCAGCATTTTGGACAGGTGTCTATTATAAAAAGTTTCTGTGTTTGCAAACCCAATATGACATTCTGCACTGATCCCCTTTGGTGCTGTGAACTGGGATTTAGCAACATGATACAGTGGACCTTTTGTAAGAGCCAACAAGACACCTGGACCTGCCACACCAGATTGCAGACTGATGTATCAACAATGAACAAACCACTTAAGAAGTGTTTAACTTGGAAGGCGGCCAGCAGCAAAACTTACTATCCATGTGGGGATGGCAATGGAAAAAGAAACCACTGTTGAACATGGTGCCTCTTTAATCAGCACACAAAATATTAGTTTACTAACATCAAATATTTTCTGTTTCTCATTGTACCTGTTGTAAAATGACTGCATAGAATACTGTGTTGTTTTATGGACAGACAGAAAAACTGTCAGTAATGAGGACTAGTAGCTCTTAAGTAGCAATTATAATTGTTTTAAGGGTATACTTCTTTTAAGCTTTAGTCATTCATAACGTAACGTAAAACACAAACCACACAGGCTCTTAGGTTGGGGTTTTTCCTCTGTACTTATTGCTATGATCTGTCAAACAGACCATCCAGTAAATTCTAGTGTGATTTAATGGTCAAAAAACAAGATCCCAAAAATGTATAATGAAAATACAATGTAAATTCAACTACGATGTAAATGTGCAAAATGGCTAAATCCATATTTTTTAGTTTTTTAAAAAAATTAAATAAAACAATGGTCATTAAGAGCATGCAGATTCTTTTATGATATATGTATCTGTGGAAATGCATAGGAATTATGGATATAATATTCCTAAACACCAAACAAAATTACTATGGATTTCAATCAGCATTTATCTAAGAACATACACTTCTGTGTACCAATTACGACATCAGTTCTTGCAAAATAGTCATTTAATCTCTTGCATATTATATTCATTACACTAGAAAGAAAAAGTGCATAGTGCATGACAATGCTATTCTTACCCTTCCTGAGGTTTTCTTGGTTTTCCACTTGAAGTAATTCAGATTTCCAAATTGTACCACTGTTAGAGAGACCTTATGCTGTTCTGCTGGATAAATGTTCAGTTCTGTCCCAAAATATATGTAATTTCTAGGGCTGTAGTGTTTAATCAATTAAATGGTTAACCAATTAACAAGGGCCTGGTTAATTGTATACAAGTATTTACAAATGTATGGCGGATGCTACCTTCAAAGAGGCATCGAACATGGTATCTCATACTGGAGTGAATGCTGCCCCAAGATGGTGCCTACTGCAAGAGCATCAACCAAAACCAAAATATTTTTTCTTCAGAACTTGTTTATTCAATGTGCAAGCTTATATATATTTAACCAATTAAAACTCATTTTTAATCAGGTGACAGCCCTAATAATTTCCTGTTCTCCAGTGGCTGCTTTGGATATTTCTTTTCTCTGTTCCAGTTTCAGGACAAAGGGGAATAACTAAATCTGGCATAGGCAGAACTTGCATACCTGAATCAGGATGTTTGCAAGTTTCATGCATCATATTTGAATCTGACATTTGGAAATTTCAGTGGTATCTGTGTTCTGTTGTTTGCCCATCTCTTCCAACCCACTAGCTTTCAGAGAAAATAACATTCAAAGTGTCTCTAATTATTCCCAAACTGCATTACAACGATGTTAAACAAATGAGCATGTAGCATCTGTGCTTGCTGGGTTCACTTCATTCCTAAACAAGGGAATCAAGGAAAACTACACGACATTTTAAAAAGTTCAAAAAACTACAAGCTTTAAATTTTAAATGCCATCTTGTATTTCAGTAATCCTAAATTTTACAAGCATGTCACTATTCTGAAGCAACACAGTGGACTGTGCATGTATGTATTCATGTAAGGACATTATCTGCATACCTTCCTTAGCCAAAACATGACAATATAGCAACATGACATATCTGCCACCTGCATCCAACTGCTAAACTTATTAATAGCAATTTCAACTGAATAAAATATGGCACCATTGTACTGTGCCCATGACTGACATATACCTCATTAAACAAGTTCAGGTAAGGCAAGACAGATACTGGTGATAGAATTTTTGGTTTTCAAAAACCTTTAAAGCCATCCCTTATTAACAGAGCTGGGTATTTTATTCCATTTATGTGGGCTGACTAACCAAACCTTTAGCAAGAACTGAGAAAAAGATGACAAAAATATACACTGGAAATGCAGGAGCACCAGGGTAACTAACTACTTACCTGGGAAAAATATTTTTAGTGGTAGCCTAAAAATGCAAGCAAGCGTAAGAGCTTGCAGAGAAGGATTAAACACAGACCTACCTCAAAGATACAGGAACTTGCATATTAATGAGGATGTAATCCACATAAAGACCTTGGATATTATGTATTCTCAGATACACTACAGTCTTAACACTGCTTTTCATTTCCAGTGAAGCATATAGTAATACCCTAGTGAACAAGCCCAAAATTTTAAAATCTCAAGGCAGTTTTCCATTAACTGGGTGCACATCACAAAAGTAGAACTCCCAGCAAACAAAAAGACAAAAAAACAAAAAAGCTGCTTGGGACTATTATCTTAAGCATTCCAATGCAGCCAATAAAATGCAACTATGCCATTTCAGCGGCTATATTTGATACACAAAATCCCTACAAATACATTTACTTAAAAGATGTTACTTTTGAACAAAGAAATCAGAATTAAAAAAATACATTGTTGCTTCTCTGCTTAAACTTTATTTACAGGTTATTGGGGATTTTTAAACTAGACACAGAAGCTCCTGTAGGGTGAAACCCAAACACGCCATAGATAACGTCAGCCTCACAAGAAGTACAATTTGACTTACTTTAAATGCTACTAGAATTTTGCCAATTGTTACAATCATTGCCCAAACCAAACAGTAGTCTGAGTGCTGTACGAAGTGCATAACAGAAACGTTTATTCTAGCATAACATGTAAGGGTAGTTATCCTTGTAAATCATTGAAACAAGTATCACAGACACGAACAGGTTTCTTTGAAGAAGGAGTTAAGGCATTCTTTGATGAACACTCAGCACAGAAGATATTTCCACACTGTCTGCAGTGATGCTGTAGAGGAAAATATATATATTACACATGCATGCTACACCACCACATGCATGCATAGTGTTGCCAATGGAATGTTAAAATAAAACGATATATATACTACTTCTAGAAGCATTCTGAGGTTAAGTGTTTTAACAACATTGTTCGGTAAGTTTTATGCCAAAAATATTCCCAGTAAATAGGATGACATGGACTCAGTTGAGGAGAAATACATATAAAGTGACTACTTAGCACCATAGATTTTTCATGAACGATCTAGTCTTGGAAGTCCTCAGACTACCACAATCCCTCTCCTCCACCTTCCTAACAAGGGTCTCTGAATCCTTCCTGGTTACAACAAGCCATAATCACAAACTACACTTTCTTTTTTGCCTAAAGGGAGGAATAAAAAATAGTTGAATCCTCATTTGTAGGAAAGAAAACCAAACCACTTGGTTTTATTTACTGGTTCAGACACAAACAAACTATGGTTTGCTGAGAACCAGGAAGTCTTCAATTCCCCAGCCACAAACAAAGGTAAGAAGGAAAGTGACATACGATTCTAAGGGCTTTGCCACAGCAATCAGCCCCATAAAAACTGCTAGAGAGTATTCTGTTATGCCCAGGCAGCTAAAAAATGGAAATCAGTTTGAGTAAATCTGATACTGGCCCTGTTGGAATAAAGAACGTAAATGGACATGGAATGGACATGCATCCCTCAATGACACTTTCACATTACAGTGTTCATAGTCTTAAAATTGTATCCAGCTGCATACAACCTTTCAGATTACAAAAGAAGATTATGTCTAGTTGAGCAAGATAGGTAGCCATGTTAGTCTATCTGTAGCAGTAGAAAAGAGCAAGAGTCCAGTAGCACCTTAAAGATGCACAAAATTTGTGGCAGGAGATGAGCTTTTATGAGTCACTGCACCCTTCTTAAGAAGTGAGCTGTGACTCATGAAAGCTCATACCCTACCAAGCATTTTATTAGTCTTTAAGGCTACTGGACCCTTGCTCTTTTCTAGTTGAGCAGGTAGTGTCATCAATTTTAAAGAAGTGAATACATAATACAACATGACTATTAGGGGATACCTTAAGCCTCAAGGTATATCGCTTAAGGAGAGGAAATGTTTCCTTTAATAAACCTGACAGAAACCAACATTTTAACCTTATCTCCTTTTAAAATAATTTCCTTAAAACAAGGGGCTTCAAAAAGAAAAAAAGAATACACATACCCTTCTTATCGTTACAGAAAAGTTTTTTCCACACGACATGCAATTCTGAACCTCATTGTCTTCTGCCCACTTCCTATTTAGGGCTTGTGTATGTTTGATCTATACAAAGTTTTAAAAGTAGCTTTTAGTAAATCTTAAATCAAAAATTCAAGACAGCAGAACAATTTAATGGAAACTCAGCTATAATGTTGATGTCAGGGGGCAGCAGAGACAACATCAGATTCCCCCCCCCCCACTTCTTGGCACCCCACATTTCAGTGGTTGGCCCTTTACCAGTCAGTCAGTTACTGACAGCAGTCCCTCTGACAGCCAGCCATCAGATGATCAGCTGTCAGGAAGCTCCACCCTGGGGGCAGGGAAGGACAGAAATGGGAATGGTTGCTCAGAAGGTGCTTTTGGTCCTTCTCAGGTCTCACCATGCCTCCACAGAGCTTCTGGATGGAGGGAGGCCACTAGCCATGCTTCAGGCCTGGCTAGCACCTTTAAAAGGCTGCAGGGAGGAGGTCAAGAAGTACAAATTAGCTCTAGCTCCTATCTCAGAAGGGAGTAGAGCTGGGGGACAGGAAGTTAAATGGGATGGTGTTCAACCCCTGTCCCTCTCTATCTGAAGACACTTAAGCCAAATCAGATCCTGGTGCACAACAACTGTGACCTGGGACCCAACAGTTGGTAACATAAACACATATATCTACATAGATCTAAACCCAAGGATCCAGTCCTCTAAAAAAACCAATCAGCTAATAACTGTTGTACCTAGAATAACTGCATTTTTATAACCAAGCCTAAGCTCTCTGTGTTCATTTCATCACCTTCAAAAGTCCTGCTAATACCTGTTTACCTGAATGGTTTAATATTAGCACTGACCCCAAGTTTAGACGCCAAAATGGAATACCTGCAGTGATTGGTTCTCTCTGCCAAGCTCTTGCATGGCTGCAGTAGTATCATCCAGTTTTCTTCGTGCATCCATCAATTTGCTTTGAAGCTTTTCAATTTCTCCTTCACTTTTAAGGCACCTAAAAAATGAGATGGTAAACCATTTTCTATTTTATCAAAATCCTATTACAGTAGGCTTTCACAGTTCTAATTGGGAAAATATAAAACTAATACAATAGCTGCCAAATAAATATAATTAACCTACCATAAACTATTTTTGCTTCTGTTTGATACCACCATAAAAGGACAGTTGGTGGCAGATACAAGCAGAGGTGCTTGAAGTGGATTACGGAAGGAATGTTCCCTCAGTTGTGGGTCTGACTAGCCATATGAATCAAAGCAACCAAAAAGAACTTAGAATACTAAGCCTTTTTGTTTCTGTTCAATGACAGACACACACTCCCAGGATTTTCTGATATGAAGTTACAGTTCAAAAGATGTGAATCAATACTTCAGCTTGAGTCCAATAAGAATTCCAGTACAAATAGAAAGCCAAAAGGAAGCTAAATAGTAAAGAGCTTTGAAAGTATTTAAATACACAATGATTGAAGCTCAGATTGAATGGATATCACATATTAAGAAGGGCAGCATCAAACCTGGGAAGATGCTAGAGCCCTTGGATACAGAATGTTGAAAGGATTGCTAAATACATACAGGGAGACTGAAGAAAAATCAAATGATTTGCATCAATTTTCACTGTGGAAAAGCGCATTTACCCAGGCCAGAACCGTTTTGGAAAGTACTCAGTTCTTCCATGTCTAGGAATTGACAAGAGATGACGTTCTAGGGCTAACCAACAAATTAAAAACTAGCAAATTACTGGGTTGTGGCATACACCTGACTGAAAGGCATTCAAATATGAAGCTTTTGATCTCCTAACAAATACATGCAGCTTTCATTAATTAGCTTCCTCCCAGAGGACCAGAAGGCAGAAAATTCAAGGCTATCTTGTGGCTTAGAAAGTCATTCGATAATGGGAAACAATGAGTATGAATAAGTGGACAAATCTTACAATGGAAGGAAGCAAGTAGAGGGTTTCTCACGGATTAGTTACTGGTATTGGGACTGATGCTATATAATTTGTTCATAAGTATGCTCTAGAAGAGGTAGAGGAACTAGAGATCAAATTGCCAACATTCGCTGGGTTATGGAGAAAGCAAGAGAGTACCAGAAAAACATCCACTTCTGCTTCACTTACTACACTAAAGCCTTTGAGTGTGTGGATCACAACAAACTGTGGCAAGTCCTTAAAGAGACGGGTGTACCAGACCACCTCACATGTCTCCTAAGAAACCTGTATAAGGGTCTAGAAGCGACAGAACTGGATATGGAACAACTGATTGTTTTAGCATAGGAAAAGGAGTACGACAAGGATGTATATTGTCACCCCACTTATTTAATTTATATGCAGAGTACATCATGTGAAATGCCGGCCTGGATGAATCACAAGACGGAATTACGATTGCTGGGGAAAACATCAGATATGCAGACAATACCATTCTAATGGCAGAAAGTGAAGAATACCAAAAGAGGCTCTTCCTGAGGATGAAATAGGAGAGTGCAAAAATTGGCTTGAAACTCAACATCAAAAAAACTAAGATCATGGTATCTGGCCCCATCAATCCTTGGCAAACAGAAGGGGAAGTCATGGAAGCAGCAACAGAATTCACATTCCTGGGATCTAAGATCACTGCAGACAGTGACTGCAGCCATGAAATTAAAAGATGCCTGCTCCTTGGGAGGAAAGCTATAGCAAACCTAGACAGCATAATAAAAAGTAGAGACATCACCCTGCCAACAAAAGTCCATAGGGTCAAAGCAATGGTATTCCCAGTAGTAATGTGTGACTGCAAGAGTTGGACTATAAGGAAGGCTGAAGAATAGATGCTTTTGAATTATGGTGCTGGAGAAGACTCAAGAGTCCCTTAGACTGCAAGGAGATCAAATCAGTCAATCCTAAAGGAAATCAAACCTGACTGTTCCCTGGAAGGCCAGATCCTGAAGCTGAAGCTCAACGGCTGAGCCGTTCAGAAGAACGGGATATAAATACAAAATAAATAAATAAATAAATAAATAAAAATATTTTAGCCACCAAATAAGAAGGGAGCACTCACTGAAGAAGATCCTGATGCTGGAAATGACTGAAGGTCAAAGAAGAAGGGGATGGCAAAGGATGAGACAGTTAGACAGTGTTATCGATGCAACGAACATGAAACTGAGCAAACGAAGACAGGAGGGCCTGGCGTGATGTGGTTCATGGGGTCGCGAAGGGTCAGACTCGACTGTGTGACTGAATAACAACAACAATGATCTAGAAGGAATGAAGTGACCAGGTTTGCAGATAACACTATAAACATTCAGGATGCTGAGAAGGCTTCAAAAAGATCTCACTAAACTGGGTGAACAGGTGACAACAACGGGCAAATAAGGTTCAGGGTCTGAGGAACTGATGTCCTTGCACAAATCTGTGATATGGGTGCATACAGTTCAGGTCACTTTATTTCAAAAAGGTTATGGAAAAGGTGCAGAAAAGGACAACATAACAGAGGCTTATGAAATTACGTACTGAGTGGGAAAGAGGGGGGAGAGATTTCCCCCCCTTCCCATAATAAAGGAACTAGAAGACACCTAAGGAAGTCAATGTGCAGTAGACTCAGGACAGAAAAAAAGAAAGTACTTCTTCACTTAAAGAATGATTGCCCTGTAGGATTCACTGTCACAGGCTGTGGAGGTGGTTTAAAAGACAATTAGACAACATCAAAGGGTCTTATCAATGGCTATGAGCCAGGATGACTAAATGGAACCTCCATGTTCAGACACAGTAATCCTCTAAACAATGCTGGTGGCTTTGACTTACACTTAGTAAACAAATTTTAAAAGTATTCCATGTTAATTTTATGTACCAGTAGCAACAACTCTTTGAATATTTAAAAAACCAACAGTCCCATTACCTTATTCACTGGCTTACCTTTCTAACAACACTCTCCTCTCATCCTGATTATTTTGTACTGTGGCTTCCAGTACTGCAATCTCTCCACGCAGATCATCTGTTTGTTTCTCTAGCTCACCAACTCTTCTTTGGCTGCTTTGCCACTCTTTCTTCACCGTACTCAGGTTTTCATTCAGTGCTGTGATCTGCATGTTAAGCTTACTCTCTGACTCCTCGTGACTTTTACATTGTTCATCTTTTTCCTTGATCTCCGCTTGCTAAGACAAAAATAAACATTTAACATGCTGACAGAATAGAACAGAAAACTTGCTTACCTAATGAATTCTCCTATTTGTTTGTCTGACAGTGGTCTAGACAATCAGTGCTCTCTTCTTCATCCACTAGAGGATGGAGGAGAATTGGAAGCACTTCCCAATTCCTCCTTACAGCCAGAGTCTCCATAATAAAGCACAACCTGTACTTTGCTGGAGAAACAACTAACGGTCACCTACGAAATGGATCCTCGACCACCGTCAGGCAAAGCAGAAGAATTCACGTTCTCCCTATTTGTCAGCCTCCAGTGGTCCAAAAACCACAATGTTACAAGTTGTGACAGTAGCCTCAAGGAAGGAAGGTAAACAGAGAAAAACAATCGGCACAGAACACCCCACTAGAGCACCCTTCTGACAAAGGATCCTAATGGAGATAGAAGTACTGACTCAGCACTGGCTGGAGAACACACGCACAGAAGGCCATGTAGCTGCCCCACACAGTCTCCACAGATGCCACATAATGGAAACCCAAAGAGGAAATTGATCCACTAGGCAAGTGGGCCATAACCCTACATGGAGGTGACTGTCCCTACAGACTTTCACATCACAGCCTCTAAGCCATCTAGCAACAGCAACAGAAGCCTTAGATGTTCTGTTGCCTCTATCTCTTATTCCATATGACGACTTTCTAAAGGGAAGAAGAGATTGGATGTATACCCCCGCCCTTCACTCGGAGTCTTAGAGTGGCTTACAAACTCCTTTCCCTTCCCCCCCCCACAACAGACACCCTGTGAGGTAGGTGGGGATGAGAGAGCCCAAGGTCATCCAGCAGCTGCAAGTGGAGGAGTGGGGAATCAAACCCAGTTCTCCCAGATTAGAGTCCACACACTTAACCGCTACACCAAACTGGGAGGGCTGCATCCTTCCAAGGTAGATTCCACACATCCTCCTGACTTCCAGGCAATGGCACGCTCTCTCTTGGGGTGGAATGGTTTGAGGCAAAAAGGAAGGTAGGATGGCCTCTTATTCCCAGTGAAAACTGTCTTTTACCATAGGAATGCTTACCCTCAGAAATCTTACATTACTACAAAGACCCTTGTTGCCCTATTTAAATTGCAAAGACTAGGAAAGCAGTACCTTAAATTATTTTCTTCCGCTCTTTTACAGTCAAGACCAATGAGAAGGGGGACCAGGGGGGCTATTTGGGCTTGGTCTCAAGAAGGGGCCCCATATTAACAAGTGTCTACTTGTTAATTTTTTGGCATTTGATATGTTTCACAACTGGTTTTTATATGCATCAACATTTTACATTTTTATTATGACTCAGAGCTTCAAAAGGTGAAAGCTACCTGGATTTCTCTGGACCTCTGAAAGGGGCTACTTGGCTGCACAAGAGGGGAAAATGGCTTGCTCACATGCAGTTGGTGGTGTTCATCATTTGTGCATTTGTGCATTCACACTGACGGATTTTACACCTGAAAAGTGCTTTGATTCAGGAACTCCTAGAGCTACCTTTCAGGTGCAAAAGACTTTCCCAGCAGAGCCACAGCCTCAAGTAGGCATACCCAAAGGGAAGAAGTCAGGTCGTCATACCCTTCCAAAAAGTAATGCCACAGCAGCTGAAAACCGCCTGTTGCAGGGAAGGAAGCTGTAAATTCACAGATGACCAGTCAACATCAGTTATCGCTGGGCGATCTGTTTTTCTTCTCTGTAGACTCTGTGCACCACAGTGATGGGTAAAGGTAAGTAAGCTTACCTCCCTGGAGAGATGCACAGATCAAGGAGAAGAGGGAGCACAGCCTTGCTGAAAGATTCATCTGTTCTGGCAACTTTGGAAGGATCCAGGTGGCTGATCTGAGAATCAGTAAGAAGCTGAAGACAGCTCTCATGAAATTAGCTCTAACTACCCCAGGAAGTATCTTATGGGTCAGCTCACGTTAAGAGCTTGATGGCAGCTGTGAACCAGTGGCCAAACTACTGAAAAGACATTCTTTGTCCTTTCTTTGGGTCCAAGAAGCACAGGAAGAGGCCTGGTTAACATGAATATCATATGAACAGGCACAAGTATTTCCCAAAACAGATAGTTTTGCTCAAGCAGAAGAACAACACCCTTCTGGCATCCAGGGAATGCAGGACCCTAGATGTCAGGAAAATAGGAGGGAAGAACAAGGTACTGTTGATGGAATCCAGAGACATCTTTTGGCTGGAAGGAAATGTCTATGAGCAGAACTGCCTTATCCCTGTGAATCTGCAGGTAAGGAAGGTCTGAGTGACACAGCAAAGTTCAATGGACCTCTTTCCTGAAACTTGGAAAGTGACCTGAAAGTGAAACTTGGAAAGTGACCTGAAAGTCAGTGTAAATTGGAAATTTGGAAAGTGACCCTAAAAGTGAGGCATCATAGGTAGCCATGGGCTTAAAGTCTTCCCATTAGTTGGGTAGTAACTAGCTGTAAGTTCCATAATAGTGTAGTTGGTGTATGAATTTTCTAAAATTCAGGACCATCTCCACCAGAGCATTCAAAAACAATACTGTTTAATGTGTCAGTGTCCTGTTGTAGTTCTCAGACAAAGTCTGGAACCTTGGGAAGATTGAGAAGGTGACGTATGTTCTGTGCATCTTCTGGGCATGGAGCAGGGGTCATGGGGAGTGTGGTGGGGAGGTAGTTGTGAATTTCCTACATTGTTCTGGGGTTGGACTAGGTGACCCTAGAGGTCCCTTCCAACTCTATGATTTTACGATTCTTTGGGGGAGTTGGATCAGATATGGGCAACTGGGAATGGTGATTCTATGGACACGTGAAGACTGCTTTGGCAGACATTGTTACCAACACTATTGCAGTAGGAACTGATGCAGATCAAACTGAATGCATCATGGCTGGAACCAAGGAATGTTCTGTGGTTTCCTAAAGGAGCAGTGAGTTTCAAAAGTTGCAGATGAGAGATCACAGCCAACATGAGCAAGATTCTGTGTGGACAATCGTTTGGAAAAACCCTTCAAGTACTGGTCCTAGTATCTCTGGTACCACTTTCTGCTGCCAACAGCAGTGGGCATACTAACAGAGATTTGCCAGAACCAGTTCTATGGTTCCCATCATACAAAGACTGATACTGTTGAATCTGAAAATCAAGTCCTAGAAGAATTGAGTTATCATGAATGAGATGAGAATCTAGCTCAAGGAGACTCTGACAAAAACAGGTCAGGATGTAGAGGTTCAAGAATGCCCGACTGGGACTCTTTCAAGCAGCCTTCAGAGAAGCATCCTACCAGCTGGACATTGAATTCTATAAGCAGATTGCATTCTCAGGATCAGGATGATATCTTGAACCACTCCTAAGATTGGTTCCAGAGGTACTGGGACAGAGACTGGAGGAGCAGATGTTCATTCATCTACCTTGACTGGTATTTCTCCTTATGGTGCTTATTCCTCAGTTTCTTTTTTTATATATAAAATATATTTATTTCGATTTTCTTAGATGCATTACAACATGCATGTCGTATTCAGATTACATATATATATATATCAACTTCTGGAGCCTCAGTTTCAATGATGACTGAGCTCAACACTTCTGGCTAGTCAGCTTAGTCTTCTGCTTGCTCAGTACCAAGAGAGTCAGTAGTTATGGATCCAGCATCAGAAGATGAACTGAAAGCACTGAAACCAAGCAGAAGGGTTTCTACATATTCAGCACCAGTTCTCTGATCATCACATCTCCACAAATATGGCTCAGAGGAAAGACCAGTCACACATTGCCTATTTAATAAACTTGAGGCACTGGAATTAAGTTTTTAGTGTGAGTTGCTCTTCAGTGTGCAGGAGAGGGCAATCATGGGCATCTGACAATGACAACTTTTCACTGCACTGTCAACACTTAAGAGTAGTTAAGTGCTCTCGGGGGCACAGAGAACTGAAACAAAAGAAGATATGACAACTTTAGATGAAGAGAAAATGGAAGGCACAGCAAACTGTATGTTTCTTTATGGAAAACTAGCCCACAGAGGAGCCTCTTCTGATGAGAGTATTCCCCATTGCGGCTGTTGTTGTGGCAGACAAGAGAGAACAAAGTGGGACGAGATGGGACTCCTCACCTTTTTTATGCGTTGTAAATAAAGTGGTTATTTTGTGTTTCTTTATACATGTACACTATTTTTTACTACTCCTGCTTTTGAAATGTACACAGGTTTTTGGGGAGTGATGAATCCATAAGGTCAGGAATAAGTTTTAAAGTCTTTTTATACTATATTTTAAATATTTTGTATTTATATATGGTTTTGTTTTTCTGCAATTCTTCATTTCTTCGTTTTGATTTCTGTTGCAGCTGTTCCCTTTTTGCCTGATTGAGTACAAATATATATTAAACATAAATTGAATTCAAGTTACGTGATTTCTGATGCATTCTTTAATAAGCCTCAGTCATGAGTTCAAAAAGCAATTTCACTTCCACACGGAGACTGTAATTAGGGGCAGGAGACATGCCATTAGCTTACACTAACATTCAAGTATGCCTGGATAGCAAATTATCTTCATATTATGTATACTAACCAATTTTGCTTCAAGTTCAGAATATTTCTTCTTCAAAGCTTCTTCTCTCTTTTTCAACTGATCTTTCATAACTTCCTGATTCCTTTTCTCCTGTTCAAGGGCGGTATTGATGTTATCGACTTTTCCCTGAAGCTCTAGTTTCTGCTGAATCAACAACTGCTTGGCCTCTTTTAGGTTTGTAACTTCCTATTAAAATATGCACAATATTACAAAATAAAAAGTTAACATGTGAAAAATAATTTCAACTGCATTACTACAGTTTTAGAGTCATGTGTGCTAAAGTAACCAGAAGATTTCTCTGCACCACAAAAACAAGATAAAGGCATCCAATTACACTATTAGAGTAAATATATTTTATCTCTTAACCATTCCAAGAACTCCGCTGAACTCCTCAGGAAGCACCTTAATGTTTCCAGATGAGAGAAAAGGTCAGTGTGGTTGGGAAAAATCTCAAAGCATATGAACAAGAAAAACTCAGTACTTGGTGTGTGCATTCGGATGTACCCGAGCCACAAATCTACCTGAAAAATACCTTACCAGTATTTTTCAGTATCCCAAATGTACTTGGGTTTTCTTGGGAAAACAACCCCACCCCCCAATCCTGGATATATTTGGGAACTACCAGGTAGATCTGAAAACAGCGGAGAGGAGGGAGCAATCTTCCTGTTGGGCTCCTTAAAGTTTAAAGGGACTGCAGAAGACAGCCCAAGGATCAGCTGTGCCGGTGGGGAGCAGACTGTGCCCACCGGATCAGCTTGGGGCTGGCTTCTCACGCAGCCCAGTTTAAACTGGGCTGCAGATGAAGCCAGCCCCAGGATCTGCTATGCCACCAGGAAGAGATTGCTCCCCGCAGGCTGGGCTTTGAGCTGGCTCCCCCTGCAGCCTGGCTTAAACCGGACTGCAGGAGAAGCAAACCCAGCTAGGATCTCCTGTGCCATGTGGAGCAATGTGCTCCATGTGGTACAGCTGCTCCTGGGGCTGGCTTCTCCAGGATTGGGCTGGCTTTTTAAAAAATTGGTATTTTTTCTTCTCGGGTTTATTGGACCCTCCAAAATTTGGGATTTTTGAAAAAATGGATCTGAATATCGTACCGGTATTGGGACCCAAGTTTTTCAGAAATCCTGAAGTTTTGGGGGGTCCACTAGACACAAACAAAAAAATACCAATTAAAAACATTGCACACCCCTACTCTGTACACAGGAGGAAAGGTGGTTAATTGAGCAGGAAGAGGGTTGATGAAGACTGAGAAACTGAAGCACAGCACACACAAAAGATGAACAATAGAGCCGTGACAGAAGGCTGAAAAAAGAGGTTTGCCAACCTGTAACTGGTGTTCTTCAAGTGGTAATCTGTACATCTGTGCTCACAGAGTTTTGATTCAGAAAGACATAAAAATTCTTTTTGCTTTAACGCACAGGGTCCTCCAACATGGCATAAACACAGGCTCCATTTCAGCTCAGCCACAGAAAAAGGTATGTTCTGATGGTAGGAAGGGAGTGGACAAGCAGGGAGACCTGGGAGCTATGGGCTATCTTTCCAGCACTGGCTGGTGCATACAGCTGCTGTGGCCACCAGAAGTGCTGCCACTGTGCATCACCTGCATGCACTTCTCCATCAACACTGGGAAGCTGGAAGCATGGGTGTCAGAATGCTTCCAAGCAAACAGGCAGGGGAAAGCACATGGGCAGGTGGACGGGGAGATGGACGGGTTGGGGGGGGGGTGTCTATGACAATGGGCCCCACCTCAGAGTATGCTGAGATTAGCCTTCTTTGACTGACCAGTACATGATATATTTTGAATATAATAGTGCAACCTGAACAAAATTGCCAGTCACTGGCTTATACCCTGATGTTGCAATCCAATGCATTCCAGCTCTTTTGACTTCATTAAAAGAACCCACAAATCTTGCAGCAACAGTGATTCCCATTTTTCCAAGGAATACATAAATACTAGTCTGTGACCACATGGATCTCCCATGTGACAACATACCTTCTCAAATTCTTGTTTGAAGGCCCTACCCTCTTCCTTCAGCTTGGCATTCTCTTTTTCCAATTTGTTGTTTATATTCTGGAGCTCAGTTGTTTTGGATTTTTCATTTGCCAAGTCTTTTTCTTTTAAAGCCTTGAAAGGAAAAAGCCCGCAGATGTGCTTAGGAGACTTCTTTCTGTTGATCTATGCTATTATAGAAGCACTTTCATTTTCAGTAAGGAGAGGCGCCTTTTAATACTCCACAGCATGTTCCTCCCCTACATAAAAACTGTTCAACAGAATTGCTTTCAATCTACCACAAAATACTATCATATACAGAAGAAATGATACATGTCAAAGTTGTACTGTTATTGTATATATCACCTTGCTTGTACTGCATCCCCTTCTACTTTGTAACCCACCTTCTGATTATAGAAGATGGGGCTTTTTTATTATCTTCCAGTTCTGTAATCATAATCCTACTGCATTGTTTATCAGATATCTAAGCCACCCTGAGCCTGTCTTGGCGGGGAGGGTGGGGTATAAATTGAATAAATAAATACATAAAATCTTATTCTGTCTGACTGAATTGTTTTTATATTTTGTAGTTAGACTTGCGTCTTGGTGGGAAAGGCAGGCTATAAATGAAGTAAATAAAGAGCTCAAATGTATCTATATTTACTTAGAAGTAAGCCCGACTGAGTACAAGGACTTTAAATTGTGCACAGGAGCACAGATAAAAAGATATTCACTATTATTTCCCCAAGGCTAGCTTTGGAGTTTGTTACCACCGAACCATTGTAGCACTGAATCCATACTATTACAATAATTTTGGAATTTCACATATTCTAGATAAACTATGTTATTTTTTCCTAGGATACATTTTCAAGCTTAAATCCATTCTGAAACCACCTCTATTTGCATGGCAGACCAAGCACACCAAAACAGTTATTACCAGGTTCTCTGTCAAAAGATTTATGCTCTGAAGAATGCAACCTTGCTTTAAAAGAAAAGAAAAATAGTGTCAGGAGCAACAATTACTAGAACCCCAGCTCAAACAGCAGAAGTAGGGGGAAAGGATGGAAATTACCTTCTCTTTCTGTATTTCCTGTAATAGTTTTTCCTGCTCCTTCAACTGCTGTTCTTTTTTTGATGCATCTTGCTCTAGTGTAGCTCTTACAGTCTTAAGTTCTTTGATCAGCTGATTATGATTACTAATTTGATTTCTGTTAGAAATCAGTTCCTCTTGAGCTAAAGCAAGCTTCTCCTCTGTAGACTAATTTAAGAAAAAGCAGTTACTAAAAACAAATCAGTATAATCATAGAGTCAACTCTTGACAATGCTCAGCAGTAGACCTGACCCAGACTGAGTCCCAAATTATCCATCTGTTCATACTAGTTAACCCTGCCCTATCCCAGAAGAGGTCCCTAAAGACACAGAAGCGACATGTTTTTCTAGTCCCAACCAATAGAAAAGGTGGCAGTTTAACCCTACACTGGGCATAGGAATATGGAAGAAAGTGATAAAAGGTAGAACAGCCATTATTAAGCGACTGGACAAAAATGGCAATCAACCCACACAACTTGAAGCTTAATTTATTGAGGAATTTAGATTCAAGCCAATGTAGCTGCTGAGTATTCCAGAAGTCTCCTCCAACTGTCATGTAAAAAAAGAGGGAGACTCTAGAAATATAAAGGTTGTACAGTGTAACAAAAGGAACAGCAATCAACCAATCATATTCGGAAGAAAATGTTCACCCACAGTTTACCATTTTTAGTAAGCTTCCAAATGGCGAATTTCTAGAACTAATTTCCCCTTTTTACCATGACCTTGGTCTTTATCAGTTAATGGAAGCCACTCTGCTACTGCAGAGATCATCTCATTAATTTAGGCAACTAATTAATTAAACCTAGGAAAAGCAATGTCAGTCTCCAAGAAAAGTGATGTTCTTCCTGAGAGTATGCCTTTGCTCTGAGATAGCTGGGCCTAGTCTAAGCTTTTGCAAGGAGGACAACTGAAAAAGGGAAGAGAAAAGAAGGTAACCTTCCTGGCCACAATAACTTCTTATAGGTCTTTACTTGCATAAAGCTACTATTTATCTTTAATAGCTGTTTAGTAATGTGCACAGCATGAAGTATACTATAACAAACACAAGCAGGTTAATATTCAATGATACTCAAGTACAAAATGGCCTGTTTACAGTTATAGAAAAGTATTTTTACTACTGTTAATATCTGTGTGAAAATGACATCTCTTGCTGCTGTTTGCTGAAACTGCTCTTAATTAACAGATTTTGATTGCTGTTTTTAGGATTTCAGAATACGCATTTTACTCTAGTTCCCCAAGCAGAGAAGTATGTTTTTTTTTAAAAAAAAAAACCTGGCTTTTATCCAGGGAACTGCAAGCACAGTATCATTTGTACAATGCATCTTTTTCATTTTCCCTGTCTTGGTGCAGAAAACCACTCTCAAGGATCAGGGAGCCTTCATGAGACATGGGGGGTTGAGGTGGCAGGGGGAAAATAAAATCAGCATACATTGCCTCCCTCCCCCGTGTCCTTTCACTTGTACAGAGAGCAGAGCTGGACCCAACCCAGCAAATTAACTCATAGGATAGCCTTAAGTAAGCATATAATGAGAAAATACATCAAATATTTATTTTTCACAAATAGTCCAGCAGATGGTGCCACTATAATATGTCAACTGCAGTCTAGTGATGAGAATTCTACACTTCTAGGTATATTAATTTCAAAGTAAGCACTTCATTCATCAGGTTATAATTTTAACATAATATCCCTTCATTTGTCTAAACAAATGGTTTCACAGTGCCCAGTAATTTACCGCCCCCCCGAATCCTTCACTAGCAGAACCTTTCCCCCCCCGAAATTCTAAGTGTGGTTTGGATTAACCAGACCATTTCCACAGACATTCTGGGCTGCAGAAGGATGTAGGAAGCAAGAAAAGTTCACTCCGTGGACAGAAATCCCTGTGCCTGCAGAAACAGTCTAGGAGCTCTAACCCTGTAGGTGTGAGTTATATAATAGCGTCCTTCCCTCCATCCTTCCTTTGGCTATGTACCATTCAAACAAACTCATACAAGGCCCCACCTATTTCTTCAGTGCACCCCAAGACAGTTACTGATATCTATAGAGCAATACATATTTAACATCATTTCATAGAAACAACTGACAAATACCCATAAAAGAATTGTCAAAACTACATTCATGTTAAAAATTCATGAAGAACAGCATAGAGATATTGAGACACAAAATAACCAGTAAGGATTTTAAATTTAGGCACACTGGTGCAGATGTGAAACCAATTACAGTGTGAAGTTCCAACACTACTGTACAACACTGTACACACTGCACCACTGTGCATACTGAAAAGATGTCCATTAAATAAATTTAATGTACCTTTAGGTCTTGCCGTATAGCCAAGAGCTCTGATTCTTTACCATAAAAATCCAGCTGAATTTTGTCCAAATTTTCCTGGGTTTTTTTATGTGCCTTCTGGAGTTCTGCATTTCTTTCCCTCTCTGCTGTAAGCTCCTGGGTCGACAATGTTATCTGCTGCTGTAGTTTATTCTCTAGTTCTGCCTAACACACAAAACAATAAATTTATTTTACAAGGCAAGCAAGACAAGCAATTAAAATAGAAACAGAAATGAGGATCCTTTGCAAATCCAATGACTACTAATGATTTCACATAGGCTAGACCATGTCTACTAGCTTACTTTACTTGTCAATGCAAATTGATATATCTAACAGCCAACTGTACCTTGACCTGAGGATACATAAAAATTCACTGTCTGGGTGGAGAGCAGGAAGTTTTTGCTGCAAACTTGCCCCTCCAGGTTTGCAGAGAAATCTAAAGACCCATGGAAAAAATAGGAGGGGGGGGTTTAAATCTCCCAAACAAAGGAGTGTTCTACACATGTTCGGACAATGCTTCTCTGTTGAAGCACTGATGGGGAGCCGCTGGGGGCTCCTCCTCAGCATTTAGCTCTAAAGTCTCTCTCTGCTCAGCTGATGCCTGTCACTCAAGACTCTCTGTTTATGTGAAGAATTAACCCTTCACAGTCCTTTAGCTGTTTGTACAGTACTTGCAAGCTTTTAAAAAGTGCAGTCTGTCACAGCAGGACTCTTACCTTTTCTAAAAGAGCTGTTTTTAATTCAGCTTGTTGTGTTTCAATTTGTTTTTTCTTCTGGTCAAAAGATTCCTTCACTTCTTTCAACTTTAGCTGGAGCTGCTGCTCATTCTTTTCTTTTTCCTTTAAAACACCTTGAATCTGCAGTACTTGTGCACGGGCCAAATCGAGGTCTGTTCCCAGTTGCTTGGAGATCTACATATAGAAATGTAAGCACAGTGTGTTATCACTACTTTAGAGATTACTAGTTTAATACTGCTATTTTTACATTGTGCCTAAACAAACTTATACTGTTGCTACAGTATTTTCCACAATCTATTCTACACATTTTAAATCCATGTTGTGAAATTTGTGTTTTATTGTATTTTAACTTTTTAATGTGAGCCGCCCTGAGCCTGCTTCCGCAGGAAGGGCAAGATCCAAATCGAATTAAATAAACAAATAAATAAAATACCAAACAAAAACACTGCAAGCTTCTTAAAAACGAGCTACGTTTTCTGCTTTTAAACACACAGACATGCAGAGAGAAATTGGGATTTAACCTAGGACTAAATAAATAATTCACTGTAGTCTTGAATAAGACCTGCTTATATGTGAGACTCAAGAAAATATTTCTGCTTACTCTCTACAAAGTTTGGCCCTGAGCAAAAGTATTCGGGGGGGGGGGGGGGGTGGCGCTACTCCAAGTTTTTCATGCCTTTACTCATATAGTCAACATTACCCCTTCTTGCTTTTCCAATGAGTTTTTCAGTTCATTTTGTTCTTTAGCTATAGATTCCGACTGGACTTGAAGTTGACGTTTAGCTTCTTGACAAGACTTCTCCTGTATAAAATGAACACTTTGTTTGCACTTCATTGTCTCCACAGTGCATGACAATAAACATTGCAAAATCTACGAAATATCAATGAATTCTGACATCCTCTTAAATCCAATTCAGTGGCCAACTCATAGTTCACAGCATTTAAGTACTCCAAACACACAATCCTATCAAGTCCTTTCAATCCAATATATTATTGAATCTGCTACCACAACATTTCTAAAAAAGAAACCAATTATATATTTTTAAAATACTACAAATGTCACCTTTTCAATCATTAACAAATCTTCACCAGTTATGACAACAGACTATGTTAATCATAACTGACAGTGGCAAAAAGAGGAAATAACTGTTTTACAAGTAGGGATCTGCAAGAAACTTGTGGGAGCAGCTATCCCATTCCCCCCACCTTTGCTTTCTCCCCTCTCCCCCTATTTCTCTGTCTCACTCTTTCTCCCTCCCACCACCTGTTCTCTTACTCTCTTCTCCGTGCCTGTCACTTCCTTTCTCCTTCTGCCCTCCCACCCCATTCACTCTCTCCTTCCGCCCCCCCATCACTCTCCCAGCCAGTCTTCCCTCCCCCCACAGCAGCAGTAACAGTGGCAGGTCTCCAGGAATCACAATGGATCCCTTAACTACAGAGGTAAGTTTCCCTTAAAGTTGTCAGCTCCAGACTGGGAAATTCCTGGGGATTTGGGAGTGGAGCCTTGGTAGGGGAAGGTTTGGGGAGGGAAGTGACCTCTAGCCTCCAAAGAAGCCATTTTCTCCAGGGGAACTGATCTCTGTCATCTGGAGAGCAGCTGTAATTCCAGGTGATTTCCAGCCCTCACCTGGAAGTTGTCAACACAAGTTCTCTTGGAGGAAATGGCGGCTTTGGAAGGTGGAATCTATGGCATCATACCTGTCTGAGGTGCCTCCCCTCCTCCAACCCCACTCTCCCCAGGCTCCACCCCTCAAATCTCCAAGAATTTTCCAACCTAGAGTTGGCAACCCTATCTCCTTCCTACCCAACCTACCGTCATCTGCTTTACCCCTTCAGCTTTCCACTGCCGTCCTCTCTACAGCCTCTCCCTAAAAAGACCATGGTTCTTCACACTGGGGACCAAATCAGCTTACAACCCTGTGAAGTAGGAGAGGCTGAAAGTATGTGACTGCTGCAAAATTACCCAGTCAGCTTCTACAACAAGATGGGGATCTGAACCTGGTCTCACAGACCCTACTCTGAAGTCCTAACTACTACACCATACTGGCTTTAATGCGGTGGCTGCTGTTGAAGAGAAGCAAGCAGCCAAGGCTCAGTTGAGTCATGCAGGTCAAGTGAATCAAGTCACCTAGAGGATGCTGCCAGGCCGAGGGTTGACAGCCTCTTAGTGGGACCTGGAGATCCCCCAGAATTACAGCTGAACTCCAAACATCTGTCTCTCTGGAGAAAATGGCTGCTTTGGAGGGTAGACTCTGTGGCATTATACCATGTTGAGGCCTCTACCCTCCCTCCCCAAACCCTGCCCACCCCAGGTCTCACCACAAAATCTCCAGGAGTTTCCCAACCTGGAGCTGGCAACTCTAGCTAGGCCTGGTCCTAATGAGTCCTCCCTCAAAGGCCAAATTAGGACTACAAAGGGCCCTGCCTTCTCCCCCTATCTTTTACTGACAGATACAAGCTTAGAAAGCTGTGGTTGCCTAGCAACAGCCACTGAGGGAATCCATTGCTTAAAGTGCTCCTTTTATCATTTTCAGATATTTTTAAGCTGCCCAGTGTATTTTTTCACTTTTTTTTTTGCAAACCTTGGGCCCTTTTCAGGTTTGTAGAAAGATCCGTCTTGCCCATTCACAACTCCAGTCATCGGATTTGAGTATCTAAAGATATCCTTACTTCACTATTAGAATATAAGATTCTTTTACACGATGGACAGAAGTTTTGGAAACAAATAATGAACAGTTTATACTAAAAACCTTTGCATTTTAAAATTATACCACTGTGTGTTGGATTCAGTGTAACATTTTCACTTGTGTTAGAGCTCTTGTGCAAGCAGAAATGCAAGAAAAATACTGGAATAGCCATTTGCACTTAAGTCATACACACTGTATCTCCCCTTGCATTTCCACTTGCACAAGATCTTGGGTAATCAGTTTCTGGGCCCTATACAGAAGAAAGTGGTAGGTGTTACACAAAATCTTGACCAAGAGAAACTGTCCTAAGTCTATTTATGTTTCCACTTGTAAATCACCGGATCCAAACTTATGTCTAATTCTAACAGCAGTAACCTGGTATAGTTCTGAGGTTTTTGAAACATGAATTAAAACAAGCATTAGAGGTAACAGAAATGAAGGGAAGAATTAATTTGCCTATGCTAAATGTTTTATAATACAGTATACTAAACCCTCTTCAAATATTTTATTACTGCTGTACTCTACAGTTGAAACAAAGCACAAAAAACCACTGGCTGAAGAGAAACTATATATATATACGGTATTAAATGACAAATTCAATAATTCAGAAATATAACTATATAAGGCCAAGGTGTTCTTGCAAGAAACAACAAATATACAGAAAGAAGAATAAAGTCCCAAAAATTTCAATGTGTCTCACTCCAGTTGTATTGTGATATCATAGTCCAACTTGACGTGCATTCATCATGGAGTGGACTCATATAGTTCCTGGATAATCCAAACATTCTAGAATTCCATAAACCATAGACGAAACACTCATGACACGTAATCTGGATGCAAGCTGCCACGTTTCAAGTAATTCTTTTTCAAGACCAATAGGCTATAGTGGGACCCAATCTCAGTAGAGGCACATACAAAAGCCATTATATTCAATCAGAAAGGATCTTGTACATGTACAGAATCTTTTGTGGGGAAATTTAATTTTCCTTTAGTTTGAGAATTATGTTTTGATTTTCTTAACTGTTCTCTTAATTTGGAAATATTCATGAGCTTTTCAATAGCACAGTTCAATATTTCTTCCAGAATTCAAATTTTAAAAAAGCTTAATTACTCAGATCAGTTCTTCCCAGTATTGTCCAAAAATTATCAAAAAATCGTTATCTGCTCTAAGCCAGTGCCCTGCATCTGAAAATAGGTATACAAGTATAGGCTAAGATACCCACTTAATTAGCAAAAAACACAACCTGGTAATCTTAACTTCTAATTTCTCATCACCTACTCTATCACAGCTGGCAACCCGCCCTAAATTTTCACAGCAGATAAAGTTCAGATAGGGCTGACAGCTCCCAGGTCCCAGAGGGGGCTCCCCTACTTTTGGGGGCCGTGATCTGCAGTCAGCCAGCTGGCTGGCTCACCCCCCACAAATAGGGACAGTCGGGTGACATCCCCAACATGATGTCACCCAAAAGTGACGTCATTGTGTTGGCAATGTCACATGCAACACTCTGATTTTTGGGCAAACTCTATGGGTTTGAAGCCAACAACCCCAGAGTTTTTGTCCAAAAAACAGAACGTTGCATGTGATGTCACCAACATGATGTCACTTCCAGGTGACATCATTACGTCACCCAGAACACCCCCCAAATCCCCCTGCCATGATGGCAAGGGGACCTGCCAACTATAAGTTCAGATTGTATGCAAATCAATCTATAGAAGAAATCTGCTTGCTTAGAATCCACAACTCACCAATTCTGCCATTGCCACCTTTCCTTTTTGTTTTTCCTTTTCCAATTCATCTTTGGCTACTTTCACAGATTCAGTGCTCTTTGACAGTTTGTCTCTGATAACTTCAAACTCCTTTAATAGAGTATCTTTTTCCAGCTTTATTTTTAGCAAATCTTCTGTTACTACTTGCAGTTTTTCATCTAGTTCCTTACATTGCCTATTATTATCTTCATGTATTTTCTCATGTTCCAGCTTCAGTCTTGCACTTTCTCCCTCTAGTTTTGATATCTGCTGGTTTGCTTTTTCTAGAGCATCACATTTCTTTTGTAGGTGTGATCTGGTATTAGATACTCTGTGGAGGCAAGTGAAATTCTTTCAATATTTACTCAGTTATAATACTTAGCATTTATATTCATGCATAGTATTTCCCACAGTGTCAGCAATACAAAAAAAATTAGTTTAATGAATATTCTATTAATCATTGTCTCCTGCCCACTCCTATACACTGGCAATACTTTATACTACTCTGAGATTTAAAAATACAAATTATGCATCAAAATAAGCCATGAATCAGTAGCTTAGAGTTGCATCTTATAAATACACAAATCTTACATAAAATCCAGGTCTATTAAGTCAAGCGTATGGACTGTTTCACTAAGGGCTAGGGTGGTATAGTTGTTACAGTTCTGAAATAGGACTGGGCCAACTGGGTTTGAATCCCCTCTGCTCTGGAAGCCTGCCAGGTGACCTTGGGCCCATCATAATATTTCAGCCTATCCCACCTCACAAGGTGGTTGTTGTGAGTGAAAATGCAGGAAGGGAGGAACAATGCGAAAAGCAGTTCTGGGCCCACAAATAGGGAGAAAAGTGGGATATAAATTTTTAAAAATCATTATAAAGACAAGTAAAGGAAGGGGTTTACATTACATATAAGTAACTGTGTAGTATATATAGACCCACCACAGTGGATCACATTCAGATGAGCGAAACACATTATTGTTTGCGCTGGTATTTCTTTGCAGTAGAGGGAAGTATGATCCTGCTAAAATACAAGGCGATAACTATACAGAAGCAAAACTATGTTTTGTCCTTTCCAACTAGCTGCAAAGAATTCATGACAATGATACACTTGAGGGGGGTGGGGGAGTGATTTGTGGGAGGAAAAATCCCTAGGAACATTCAATATCCAGTCATAAATTAGAAAATATAGGAAATATAGAATACATTTCTCTTTCTGCATCAACTTGTTTCGTCAGTTCTGCAGCTTTGAGATTCAAGTCTGTGCACTGTTGCCTTTGCTCCTGAAGCTCCTGAAGCACTTTTTCTTTAATCCCCGTAACTTCAAGAATGTCAGCTTCTAGTTTCTGCAATTGAAGATTTTAGAAATCCAACAATTACCCCAAAATATAAACTGCTACAAGGAGACAGAATGTGACTTTATTATTGTAAACTCCTTCTAGATGCACAGGGAGTTGTTATCTAGACCTGGGACAGCATCTCTGCCTCATACAAAACTATAACTGGATAGAAGTCTCAGTCTTCTCACTGGGGAGAAGAGCACACTGATCACTCAGACCAGACCACAACTAGCAGAAAACGGCATGCCTCTTCTTTATCAGGAACAAGCATGGTGACAGGGTAGGCAAGACACTTTCACTGCAACCAAAGAAAAGTAATTCATCACTTCTGTGTGTGCCTGCCTACCCTCTCCCCTATGCACGTGTCTGTGTAGTATAGGCCAAATACTCAATTCTGGGCAGACAAACTGCCTGGTGTGCAGTTAACAGTATGGGAGTTTGACAGGTGAAAACATGCCTCTTTCAGCCAGGTATAAAACAGGTTACCTCCTCTTTGGCTAAGGTGCAACCAAACACCCATTTTGAAGTACTTAGCAAATATGAACGTACTAGAAAAAAGGCCCGTTCTGGAAATACATACAACGGCCTCTAGAAAGAGGCTCTGGGCAGGTGCCCCGGCCTTGGACACTCAGTGTCAATTTGCTGTGGCGACCTCAGCAGGGTATTATGACACTGAGTCCACCATTTTCTCCAGAGGAACTGATCTCTGCTACCTAAAGAAAGTTGTAATTTTGAGTGATCTCCAGCCCTCACCTGGAGATTGGCAACAATGGTTCCCCAGAAGGGAATGGTTGGTTTGGAGGGTGGAGTCTATGGCTTCGTACCTGTCCGAGGTCCCACGCCTCCTGAAACCTCACCCTCTCCAGGCGCCATCCCTCACATCTCCAGGAATTTCCCACCTGGAGTTGGCAACCCTATCTCCTGCCCAGCCAATCATCAACCTACCTTTATTTCCCCCTCACTCTTCCGCTTTCCCCACACACACACACTTGCAGCCTCTCCCATGCTCTGAAGCCCTGACTGCTACATCACATTGGCTGTCATATGGGGGCCACCTCAGCAGCATATAAGGATACAGAGCCCACCATTTTCTCCAGGGGAACTGATCTCTGCCATCTGGAAAGCAGTTGGAATTCTGAGTGATCTCCAGCCCTCACCTGGAGATTGGACACATTTTACCTCAGAATAGCAAACTATTTAGAATGTTAGAGGCAAAAGCCAATCAAGTCGCATATGCAAACGACCTCTGTGTTCCGAGGCAAAGGCCAATGAGGCTGCATATGCAAATAACCTCTGTGTTCTGACTGGCTATGGGGGGGGAGAGCAACAGCAAACTGTTTAGAATGTTGGAGGCGAGACTCAAGCAATGCAGCCAGTGGATAGGGACAGATTCTGAGTGACACATCAGGGCGCCAATCAATTCCGGAGCGTGTGGAATGTTCTAGAGAAGTGCCACCACCATTTGGCTTTTATATATAAGGGAGATGGCCAAGCTGCAATCCAACAAAACCTGTTCAATAGAGATCAACCAGAGCATACTACAGTTGTAGCTGTTTCTCTCACTGAATGAGGGACAACTACAGGCAGACAAACCAAGTTCACTGATAAAACAAGTCACATTAGGAATCTATGCAACAACAGCCCCTTTAGGAATCTATGCAGGACAGTTAAGAATACAAAACACTTCACGGAGTCCTAAAATGAACTATTTGCCTGTGTCTTCCTTAGGATGCACTGGATTGGTATTATTAATTAGATTTTTTTAAAGTTTTCGAAGTAACAGACAAAAACATTATTTCAAAAGGTTCCCCAAATACTTGTGAGGGACAGAAACAAACATCCAAAGGATTATCCACATTCAAGGTTCCAACTATTATTTGTAATCCTGGATAACTTGCATTTTGGATATAGTATTTATTCAGAATATTTCCTGCTTAAACGTTCATTATATAGCACAGATATAATTCTAATCAAAACCTCCATCTCATCTACCAAATCATTTTTTTAATGGTGACAACACAAGTATGTGATGTTTAGGAAACAGTCAATCATCATCTTATTTAAAAGGGTAACTTTAAACATTTCATTTTTAAAGAATTTTTACCAAGCAAAAGGTATCCCCTCACTTAAAAGTAGCTTTGGTGGTCTGATCACTTAATGTATTTCCTCAATCCTCACAGGTGAAAAGGAAAATACTAAAAATTGCTGCAAAATAGGAAAATATTTTGAAACCAGGATACACACATATCACAAGTGTACCAGTTCTTAAGGAGCTAAGGGCCATACAGCTGATATTTCCTTCTTAAGAACCACCTACATTTAGAAAAGTAGAACCAGCCCCAAGGCTCGTGTACCTCCCCCCACACTCTCCTCACCAGCCATGGAAGGGAAAAACCAATGAGAATGCCAAATATAAGTTGTTCAGCATAGCATTTAGTATTTGATTTTGTTGAAATATTTTTGTTAGGAGTTTCTGAAAACCTTCATTTCTCTCTCTCTCTCTCTATAATTTGAGTAGTGCTTTTGTTTCTCCTTGTTTGTCCTCCTGTCCCCCCACTTGTCAACAATTTTGAGGAGGGTGAACAAGAAGGGATCCCAAATCCATCATCTACACAGCACCCAATCCTCATCCTGGCTACCTGATAATTCACTGGTCATACAGAATACAAAACAAAAGAAAGTTCCTCAGTACTGTACATACCTTATGCTGACCTTCGAGCTCCTCAGTTTTCTGTTCGAAATGAAGATGCTTTTCTTTGTACTCCTTAAGGTTGGCTTCCAGCTGAGTACAGTATTCCTGTTTGTCATGAAGCTTAGCAGTAGCCTGCTCCAACTGTGTAGTGACCTTATGTAATTCCTATTAATAAAGTTTGAAAAGAGTAACTATACGAACTTTTAAATCCATTTGTATAGAAAATCTTGTATCACACAAATATGGCGAAGGGCATATTTTTACCTGGAAAAAGCCAAGGTATCTGCTTTAACTCAGTGCTTTAAAATGGGAAAGAATACACAGGTTTGACTCACTATGCCACATGTAAGACACCTCCTGTTTAACTCACACAAATCTGGATTCAAATTCAAAGAGACAGATCTAGCTTTGACACAGAAAATTCATGTTTCCCCACTTTTAATTATTATGGAATTGACTATTTAAATCATCATGCAGTCTTTATATTTCTAAATAAACACTCTTTTCAAAAAGCTAAAATGTAATGGAAATAATTTACAATCACTGTGCTAAAATTATCACACATAAATTGGACAGGCTACCCAAGGCTACTCTGTCCAGCTCTATCATACGAAGGCCCATTCACAGCTCAGTAATACACAAATCATCCTACACAATGCAGGTCTCTAGATGTGTCAAGATAATAAACTGGGCCAAATTTTACAGGGAATGTAAAAAGTTCTATGCAGTATGTACGGAGAAATTTATTCTCAACTAAAAAATATGGAGCAGGATCTAAAATGGTATTTTTAAGCCACTCCAAATGCTTGCAGTGTCCTAGTACTTTTTGATTCTGCCATGTTAATGCTTAGTGTTTCATTTAAATTCAAGCATGAAGACATCTCTTTTCATTTTATAAATAAACTTCTTAACAATGTTGTTTCAGCATTTTGTAAGTGTAACTGGAAATAATATACAGAGGCTTCCACCTGAGTAATTCCATTTTAAGCAACCAAATAAGTTATTTTAATCATGAAGGCCCTTATATAAACTCATTGTTTCTATCACCTGTTGTTTATCTTGTAATGCATTCTGGGCAGTGTCCAAATGATTCTGAAGATCTGCTCTTTGAGCAGCTTTCGCTGCTTCTGCCGATAGCAGCAATTCAGTTTTTGCTTTTATCTGACAAGAGAACCAAAAAATTGCAGATTCTTTAAACAAGTTTTACTTTCCATGAGTGAATAATTTGTTAATTGTTTGACACCAAATAATTTTTACATAAAGTGCTGTTGAATTAAAATCCACTTAAAAAAACTAGTCCATCAAGTTAGGAAATCTTTATTCATCATCATAAAAGAACATAGTACACAAATTTAGTGTTTAATAACAGGAGTCTAAGACATCCTTTCCTGTTCACACAGATCTTTGTTTCACTCAGTGTAACAGGACATTATTTCCACCCTGGTTGCTCTCCTTAGAAACATGTTTGGGGGGGACTTCCGGTTTGTGGATTGGCAATGGTGGTCGCTCTCCCTGGACCTCGGGGGAGCTATTAGCACACCAGTGGCATGGAGGGGTGCTACCTCAAGTGGCACCCCCACGGAGCCTTTGTGATAGGCTCCAGGCCAGAGGGATTTTGAGGGTTATCCTCTTTGACGGCTCGATGCCGGAGAATCAAGGCTTCCCTCCACCCTCACGGTCCTGCCATTGTGTGGCCTCCGGGCACAAGCTAATTCGACCGAGACAAGCGTGGGAGATCGAGCAGAATAACGAAAGATGTGAGCGAGGTCAGAGTTATGACCAACAATGAACGTGAGTTCAAATTAAACGGAGTACTTTAAAAAACAGACTACCCCCCCCCCGTGGGAAAAGCGGAGCGCAAAGAGGGATGCTTCTTAAGCGCATGGACAGATAAACGTATCGAAGGGGGAAGGGAGGAAATAAACAGCGAGTTTATTTTAAGAGACTTACTTGAGTGCCGATAGTGAAGCGGCAAGTTTTTCGAGTCCTTGCGAAGAGGTTTGAAATTGTAAACAAAACCTCAGGTACCGCTTCAGTGGGAAGGTGCACCTCGGCGTTTAGTCATGCTGGCCACATGACCACGGAAATGTCTTCTGCTTGGAAACTGAGATGAGCACTGCCCCCTAGAGTTAGATTCGACTACCTTTCGAGCAAGGGAAACCTTTACCTTTATTCAGACACAGTATTACACTCCATCTCCAGGAGGCTGTACATCAGGGTAGCTTTATTGTGCCCAAAAGAGCATTACTGTATGCTTTGCTGAGAAAACACTTAAAAGCACGATTTCTGAATTATTGATATTTGGGTTTTTTAGTTCAGCTCACTAAAACCAAATATGCATGCTGTTTTAACTAACAAACAATTTTCTGAAACTGATCAACAGAGATTGTTTTAAAAGAATTACAGCAACCACAATGACAATGTGTAGTCTCTCCAACACAAAACTGAATTACCTGCAAATCAAGCTGCAATACTTTTTCTTTGCTTTCACTTAACTGACTATTTAGCTCACTTATAGTTGCTTCCAAGGATAGAGCGCGGTCTTGAGAGGCTCTCAGATGTGCCTTCTGCTCCTGCACCTGCTCATGCAAGTTCTCTTGGGCCTGTTTATGACTTTCTGATTGGTTCCTCAGTTTTTCTGTCAGTTGAGTTACCTACAAGAAACATAATAGGGCAATGTGAAGACATACACAAATATGTTTATGAAGACAAGCAGTAATGCTGAGCCTATGGGGCCAATACTTAACACTTTCCACGTGACAAGACTGGGAGAAGTTCACCTGCTTCCTCCCTGCACTCCTCCAAATGCAGAATGCAGTGCCTATGCTGGGAATTCTGTGTTTTGAGAAGAGTGATGAAGGAGAAGGCAAAGAAGTTTAGGAGCTCCAGACCCACGCCCAATTTCACCATGCATTTGGGAGAGAACAGGGTGCAAAGGATGATAAACATAATCTGATTTAGAGCTTTCAAGCTGTTCATGTTTTGGCCTATAAATTTACATCTATCATACACAGGATGCAATTCGTTCTAAAAGTGTATTTCCCACTTCCAGTCAATTCAAGCTATTCTGAATTTCTCTTGGGGTAGGATAGGTAACCTAGCAGTCCACACAATTACTTTGTAGGCAATATTATTGCTCAAATAATGTATAATGCAGAATTGTGGGGTTTGAATCATCCTAGATTCACAGGTTTCCTGGCTGTCTGCATCTCAGGGCTTGCATCCAGTACCTTCGAACATGGGGGTTGAGTTAGAAATTGGTGCAAGAGGCAAAGAGGGGTGTGCGTCTGTTTGCTTCAGGTCATGTGGTTCATGAGCTGTTTGTAGGTGTGCCTGTCTGAAAATCTTCTAGGTTTTGGTGAGCACATGATCCTTCTGGGAGGGGCTTCTGCTGAGTGAGATGAATCAGCTGCCTGCTTTTGTCTAACTTCTGGGGGTGGAGCCACAGCTCACAGATGCAAAGCAGAGTTCTGACACTAGGGTTAGGAGGAAGTGGGCTTTTAGTAGTAGGTGATTCCATTACTAGAGAGCGGGGTCTGTGACAGGCATTTTGACTGCATGGTGACTTGCCTGCCTGGTGCGAAGGTTGCGGACATCATGCTCTGTCTAGATAGGTTGACAGATAGTGCTGGGGAGGAGTCAGCAGTCGTGGTGCATGTTGGCACCAATGACACTGGAATATGTAGTCATGCGGTCCTGGAGAAAAAATTTAGGTTACTAGGCAGTAGGCTAAAGGCCAGGACCTCAAAGGTAGCATTCTCAGAACTGCTGCTGGGTCCACACACAGGGCCAGCCAAGACAGGTGCTGATGAGGGGTCTCAATGCATGGATGAGAAAGTGGTGCCAGAAGGAAGGGCTTAGATTTGTTAGGCAGTGGGGAACTTCCCAGGACAAGCAGAACCGGTACAAAAGAGACTGGCTTCATTTGAACCAAAAAACACACTGCTGACACTTAATATCAAAAAGATGTCTGAGAAGCTTTTAAACTAATCCTGGAGAAAGCTGATAGGAGCTGTGAAGCCTCCACTTTGGGACAACTAAGTCTAAAGGCACAACAGAGTGAACACAAAGGATAATATTAGTATGAAGACCACAGAACTTGGGAGTGAAAGTAGGATGGCAAAAGAGGTCCATGTACCAAGGGAGACAAAGCTTGTTGGAGAGGGGAAAGCGTTACAGGTGTCTATATGCCAATGCTAGAAGCCTCTGAGCCAAGATGGGGGAGCTGCAGCACTTGGTGTTAAATGATGATATAGAAACACGGTGGAATGGGGAAAATCAATGGGATGGTCATCCCTGAGTATAAGCTCTATAGGCAGGACAGGGAGTGATATGCTGGGGGAAGGCATTATGTTGTACATCAAAGAAGGCATAGATTCAAATAAGTTAGAAAACAGTAGAGGAATGAACTCTACAACAGAATCAATATGGGTGGAAATACTGGTCCCTAAGGGTTACTAAAAAGTGGAGGTGGGGTGTGCTATCCCCCAGCTGATCAAACCCTTGAGTCTGATCTCAATATGGAGAAAGAAATAAGGGACGTGACTAAAGCAGACAATGTAATACTGGGTGGCTTCAACTACTCCCACATTGACTAGGTAAATGCGTGCTTGAGTCATGCAGCAGAAATGAGATTCTTAGACATCTTAAATGACTGTGCATCATATAAATGTTGATGCACCAATTGAGAACCAGTGAGCAGAATGCCTTAAGTTCAGCATTCTTGTCAACGAAAATTTCCACCTAAAGTCTTAAAGGCAACATCATGGGAAAGCCTCAGCCTCTATGCCCTTTTAGTGGCCCCCCAGAGGGTGAGACATACAGCATAAAGCCCATGAAGGTAAGAGTACATAAGATACTTTTGCTGTACAAATGAAAGCAAAAAACCATCTCCATGAGCAACATGTGTTCAAACAGTTTGGTAAGAAGAACTGGGTAGACAGCCCAAAAGCCTCTTACATGAGTACATTTGGAGTACATTTGACTTCAAATATGTTAACAGTGCTGGGTTGAGACACAGTGGAAAGTTTAATTGAAGACCAGCTGGGATACTCAATTATATACGAATTATAATTCAATATACCATACTTGTTATTCCTATTGGTACTGGCTTTTTAAAAAATCCCATGTAACAGATACTTTACAGAGTTCACATTGTCCATCCAACACTTCTGTTATAAAGTACTAAACTGAACCAAGTTGTAATTTTCCCCCTTTAAACTTACCTGTTCCTGCAATGTATGGTTCTTTTCCTGTAGCTGGTTAAGAACTGCTGTTTCTCCTTCACCAGCTTGAATTTTGGCATACAAGTCCTCCCTTTCCTTTTCTAGCAAGGAAATATTGTCCTTACTCTTTTGCAGCAAAGCTTCAAGATTTTGGATTTTTTGATCTTTATCACCAATCTGGCGTAGTACTTGCTCCAAATCATTCTTGGAGGTACAAGAAAAATATAATAACACAATTAAACACAAAACAATTACATTAGATTACCTGGGAAATGTGTTTTTGTTTTCCTTAGCAGGAATTAATTCCCTTACCTGGGCTTCTCGCAGCTTTGCTGTGGTACTCTGCTGAAGATTCTGTTGCTCCTGGTGCTGCTGCTTCATTTTATCTAATTGATGCTGCAATTCAGTTCCATTTGCTGCTTTTTCCTTTAGCTTAAAAAAAGTCAGATACTGTTGACTGAAAACTGATCAGCACAATTTAGTAGTTTAATAGTGTTTCCCATTTGGTCTAATACTGAAACACTTTATAATAAAGATCTGCTACCTTGAAGTTATGCTTTATGTTTCTCATTGACAAAGTAAAAAGTCAACTTTCAATCAATAAAAAACCTTTTCAAGCTGACAGAGTCCAAAGTATACTAAAAGTATGTACATTGTTGAGATGGTATTTTACTGTTGCTTTGTTATTAATAAGGAGTTTCAGACAATTAGAATGTTTAGGAACTATGTTAGATAACAGTACCAATAATCTTAATTACGGCACAGTTTTAGTTAAAACCAAATAAGAGATCACAGTTGAAGCCCAAGAAAAACCTTAAGAAAATATACATTAAATGCCAGTAAAGCTAAGGGAGCCCAAAATACTGATCCATTAAAAGGAATCATATTACCTACTTTGTAAGTCTTCATAGTGAGAAGGAAAGAAAGGGGACAGAAGCAATTTTGAGAGGTATAGTTTTTAGCATGGTTCAACATTCTGACAATGTTCCAGAGTTGAAAGAATATACAACTGAAGAATATAGGCGGTCCCAAACAAGCACTGGAAGGAGAGCAAGGGAAGAGATTGTACACAGCATGCAAGATGGGCTACCTGTCTCAGTTCCAGAGAAACAGAAGCGACGGCCCATTTCACAAACCCAGACAAGTAGCTTCACAAAGCCCTGTGAAGAGGTTCTGTGCCTGTCTATCCCACTGATTTTGCAACAACCAGTTTTATTTGTGACTGGGCACTACACTCCTTTAAACAGCATGAAAAGGATATTCAAGTGACAAAGCACAGAATGTAAACTCAAACAGAATTTGATCTTGCAAATAATTCTTACCTCCTCCTCTGAACGTGAGAGTTTCAGCTGAAGATCAGCCACCTGCTGTTCTTTGTCCATCAGCTTTTCACTAGACAATTGCCTCTGCTCTTTTAGCCGCCCATGTGCTTCCCCAAGTTGACGCTCAGTCTCCAGAAGTTTATTATGTAACTGAAGGGGAAAACCGTCTCATTTATCTCCCGTAAAATGTTGCAGCGGACTCACAATGCTTTATATTTTACTGAAAAACAATGCCATTTGTGTACTGTCACAGCAACCAGCAGTGATTACTGTATGCATGGTTCACATCACTCAACTGAGAACCACACTTAGAACCCAATCAGACAGATTAACAGTGACTATAACATTCCTTCCGTCCCACCCTTCAAAGAGGTGGTTGCCTCTGCATTGACTGTCTGACCAGCAACTATGTGCCTGCAGGTATGCGTGAAAACAATTCACTACTGCATACCCTGGCATACATCTGGTTGGGGCTTCCATAAGCACATGAGACATACCTCTAAAGAGCTGTCAAAAGTCTTTGGCAGATTATCAACTGAGAAAAAAATAAACAATCAACTAGTTATATTGTGAAATGGCACTTGCTACCACACAAAGCTCTGACAATTACACTGAACACTTTATCTGAAAGAACCATCTCTGCAGTAAAGAATGTTCATTTAATTTTCAAGTGTGCATGTGAACAATTGTCAGACTCCCAGTAGAACCACTCTTAACACAGTATTTCATTTGAAAGTTTGAGAAGATTTGAATAACTGTAGAGGCAAACGTCTTTTTCAGAACTGGCAATGCCGGGCCTTGGTATTGATAATAAAGATGGGGTCCCACAGTGGATGCATACGTCACCCACACCCTAACGGTCATGAGAGATATACGACCCAACTAGCCATGCCCAAAGTCTTCTCTCTCCCAAGGTCAGCTCCCAAGTGAAAACCTGAGAACTTCCTGGGGGCTGCGTAAATAAGAGTTACTACTTCCCTTGTTCGTTTTTGGTATTGTAAAAATACAAGGAATGGCATCGATTAGGTCATCCTCACTGAGGCCACATTTTCAGTGAGGCCTATACAGTTTGAATATGCACACATGATATGGGATGGGCACAAATCAGCTCACAAACTAAAGTTCATCATGAATTCTGGCCAGTTCATGGATCATGAAGCAATGTTTGCAAACTGAACAGCCGCCACGAACGTCCCTGAATTTTGATGCAGTTCGTGGCAATTCATGAAGAACATAAAGCAGGGGTTTAAATGGCTCTGAACCATTTAAACCCCTGCTTTCTGCTCCTTTCCACTCACCTATTTGCTTTAAATGGCTCTGAGCCATTTGTCAGTTATGTCACTGAGACAAGTATCAAAACTCAAGAATGATCCTATATGAAATCTTTCAAAAAGCCAGAAACAACCCAACCTCTCTCAAATCCCAAGGAAGAAAAAAAGCAAGTGGACCAGACATCCTGTCTATGTTTGGATAAAAGGAATAAGGCTGTGGTATACTAGCATTTCTAACAAGGAAATAAGACTGTAGTATAATAGAATGTAGGGTGCTTTTATAAAAAGAACATGATTTTAGTCCACTATATGTATTAGTTTCCTCTTATTGTAATGTTTTCTACTTTTGTAATTCCACTTTTTTGCATTGTGTATGACTTACCATATCTGATATGCTTTTGTTTGCATTGTTACTAATTTTTGTAATGCTAGTCCTATTGCATTGTTTGTTAGATTGTCTGATGCCATTTGACTGAATTGTCTTACATTGTGTAAGATGCCTTGGAGTCTCAGGAAGAAAGGTGGGCTACAAAGTAAATAAATATATCTGTTCTATCAGAAACAGTTGAGACAGCAGATCTGTCCAAGATTAGGCTTTGTTTATCCTTATATTAAGGTACAACCTCCTAGATCAAAAAACAGAGCCTTTCCAAATGTGGGCCCAATACCTATTTAGGATAGCTGTGATAAAATGGCATATAGAGAACCAGAGCACATTACACCAGCATATCAGGAAATATACTAGCTTTTATACTGCTTTCCAGGAGCGATTCCAAGAACTGAGCTTATGGGTAAACGTTCTATGAGTGATGAATAAGTTAAGGATTACAAAAACATTGTTAAAAGTGGTACATAATATTTTTGTACTTTTAACAGATTGTTCCTTCCCCACCATGTCCCATCACATCTCTAATACAGACCTGATCTTGACAAAACTATCTCCATTTTGAAAACTATAGGCTGCGATCACATGGACCTTTAGATCCAACATAGATCCTGATGGATCTAAAGGGAGCGATCAGGCAGCAACATCTGGGAAGCATCCCGCAGTCGTCGGCAACCCGTGCTGCTCCACGGCAGAAGCAGAGTTAAAAGACACCGGGGAAAGTCTGGTAGTAAACGGCTTCCAACAGGCCATAAATGGACTTTCCCCTGATTGATCATGCAAGCACGCTCTCAAGCCATCAGGATGGTCTGATCAGGCCATCCCGGCTCAGTGCCGGGTATTTCCCCCCCTCCTTGCAGTATGCACATCATCGCATACTCCATACAGGGCCCTCAGTGCGGAGGTGCGATTCCTCATTTATGTGCCTGGGAAACAAACGGCCAAAAAACCCCCAAAACACTCACCCACAGTTGCATCTGATCACACAGTGATGGGCTGTGCCCACAACTACAAAGGAGGCATGATTTCGCAACTGCGTGTCAAATTCCTCTGGAGGAGATAGCCTCGCTTCCCCTCCGCTTCAACTGGCACATGTGACCACAGCCATAGTCATTCTTAGGGGCTGCTTTAAAGCCTTACTGAACTCAACTATCCCACAGAAGCACTATAAGGCCTTCATATTTGGCCAGGTCTTTAATGGCCAGGATTATGAAAGTACAAGGGATTTTTTTACTGGTATTTCAAGTTTTTGGGGGTATTTTGTGGTAGACATGAACAATACAAATATGTTCTTCAAGTCTGGATGGAACAAATCCCTCTGTGATGGCATCACACTGGAATTCCGGAGAGTGCCACTTCCTTTTCTAGAAACTTGTTAGCCAATCCAATATTTGTCTCAAAGAAAATCCTTTCCTTAAAATTCTATTATTTTGCAGCAAACCCTCTGACCACAAAACCAATTTCCAACTGAATTCTCTCTGTTAGACATGATTCTAGAATTTTCCATTTTGGTTGCTAGGGAGGCAACTGGAAGTACTCCAATCATAGTTCCAGAGAGCATGGCAAAATCTTCAGTTATTATTCAGTAGATTTCCATTAACCTACAAGAGATGTATAGAACTAGAACAGGCACTGCATGATAATGTCTGCTAAAAGCAGCTGGTTGGAAATATCAACAGGTCCTTATTGTAAGGCAACTGTGTGAAAAGGAATAACAGAGAGGAACAGACCAGCAGTTTGCCATTCTCCTGAACGAGTAGCCAGGCAGTGAAATGCATTGCTGGCTATCCTCTGCTCCATCCTCCTTCCCAACTGTTAAAAGCAATTTTTGATCTGACAATGGAAGGCAATGGGGAAAATAACTGTAAATTCTTCCGTGAAATAGACTCACCTGATTCAGCTCATTCTGAAGTTGCAAGCCATGCTGTTCTTTTTCTTCCCTTTGTTGCTGTAACTGTTTGAATTCTGCCTTAAGATGCTGGTACTTTATCTCAGCTTCCGACAACTCCTCCTTAAGTTTCTGACTTGCTTCTCCCCTTTCATCCAGTTCTTTCTGTAACCTCTTCAATGAGTCTTCAGATGCAGACAACCTTGCCTGAAGTTGTTGACAGTCCAAGTCCTTTTGATTAAGGGTTGCTTGCAGATTCTTCTTAATTAATGATTCTTCGTTTTGTTTATCTTCTAACTGGGTATAATCCAACTCCCTCTTTTTCAACTTTTCAGTCAGACTCTGCAATATTAGATTAATTGAAATTAAATTCATATAATTCCAGAAAAAATAGTACTAATACAAAAATCATAGTTTCATATGCTATAATACATGAGTGAAGCATTGAAGTGTGAACTTTGAAAACTCTGCCACTCTCTCATTAACCAGTGAGGCTACTGCAGTCTTGGAGAGTATAATGTTCCTTGCTTTAGAAGGGGCAAAATCATCTTTCTTGACTGTTAAAAATCTAGGTGCGATGTTAGAACCAGCCCTCCTGATGGAGAAGCAGGAATAATGTTGTGGTCAAAGCATATTTACTCTAAAGATGTAGAATAGAATTTTTCTCGATAAATAAATAATATTTTCATCTGGCACAATCCCCTGTTTGGACTGAGCCAGTCAAGCCACACTGTTCAGAGCCACAGATATCTCCATGGATAACTACCGTCTGTGCAGAGCTGCTCTCGAAGACAACTAGGAAACTTCAGCTGGTACACGATGCTATCCTTCCTTTATTAGAAATAGCTGGTCAGAATGTGCAGAATGAGCAGAATTTTGAGAGCACAGTAATGGCTGCCTATTTGTTTCCAGGCTCAATTCAAGCTCCTGGTTATTGTGGCAAGTATTCTCATCCCAACGTAGGGAGGGGGACTGCCTTACAATGGCTTTCCTCCTTTCTTCACAGTTGGGGACAAATGGTGGCTCTCGCGGAGAGAATCTCGCCGCAATGCCCACTGGAGTGCAGTGTACTGCAAGGGGCGATCCTCTCACCAATGTTGTTCAACATCTAGATGTGCCCCCTCAACCAGCTGGTCTTGGGATTTGGGCTGGGTTGTCACCAGTACACTGATGACACCCAGCTTTATCTGTTGATGGACGGCCAACCAGACTCCACCCCAGATATTTTGGACAGGGCACTGGAGGCCATGGCTGGTTGGTTGCAGCAGACCTGGCTGAAATTAAATCTAACAAAGACAGAGGTCCTGTACCTGAGCTGTGGGGATCTGGGATTGGGAATTCATCTCCCAAACCTTGGGGGGGTTGTGCTGTTGACACCAGCACTGAGAGTGAAGAGCCTAGGGGTGATCCTGGATGCCTCACTTGCTATGGAGGCCCAGGTCACCACTGCTGCTAGATCAGCCTTCTATCATCTGCGGCTGGTCAAGCAATCGGTTCCCTACCTCACCTCCCAGGACTTAGCTACAGTGATCCATGCGATGGTCACTTCCAGGTTAGATTACTGTAACTTGCTCTATGTGAGGCTGCCCTTGAACCTGACCCAGAAACTGCAGCTAGTGCAAAATGTGGCAGCATGCCTACTTAACTGTGATGTCTGTGTGGGCGGGCAGTCAGCTGGTGTTGCGGAAATTGTACTGGCTGCCAACTGAGTACTGGATCCAGTTCAAGGTTCTGGTAATGACCTTTAAAGGCTTATGCGGCCAGGGAGCAACATACCTATGGGACCATTTCTCATATGTGCCCCAAAGAGCTCTAAGATCAGCAGACCATCATCTTCTGGTAGTCCCCAGCCTGAAAGACATCTGACTAGGCTCGACAGGGCCCAGGGCTTTTTCTGCACCAGCCCCAGCCTGGAGGAACATGGCTCCCACTTGATACCAGGGCCCTGCAAGACCTATTACAGTTCCACAGGGCCTATAAAACAGCTATTCTACCAGACCTTTGACTGAGGCAGTGGAGGTCTAATTCATCTTGGCCTCCCCTGTTCGCACGACTCATACTGTTTGTAGTGCTTATAGTGCCCACTGTGATGTGATCTGCCCTACTCAAAGAGGCCAACAAAGCATCACCAGAAAGAGGTTGCTATTAACTAACATCAAATTAGCATCCTCCAGGGGAGCTTTGAACTGCCTGACTAGTTGGCATCCACTTGATTGTAATTTGGTTTTTATACATCATTTTATTAACTTGCTTAAATTATTGCTTGTATTAATGCTCAATTATATTATGTGTTAACTGATATGTTGTAACCCATCCAGAGCCCGTTTGCAGGGAAGGGCAGTATATAAATCAAATAAATAAATAGCCTAGGACTTTCACACCTGCAAGATCACCATCCGATATAATCTGGTTCTCTTTTCCATTCCTTGGATTGAGGACTGTTTATGGTACCACCTATACATAGATATGGTCATTGCCCAAACCAGAGCATTTTCTACATTAGCATGCCAACACCACTGCAATCCACTGCACGGTGGATGAGAAGATCTATTCTAAATGAGTAGATTTTATGGCTAAGATGTATGACTTCCAAAGGTATAAACTGGTTTTTAAATCTACTTATAATAATTGACTATTTGATAGTTTTTTTAAAAAAAGATATCCTAACATAGCTTGAGTTTATGACTACAAAGATTTAGGTTAAAAATACTTAAATAATATTTTTTGCCAGTAATGAGACAATACATTTGCTCTGACATCTTATATCAAAATTTCAAAATGGGATTTTACTGAATTGGGCAGTGTTTACTTATAAAGTCCCTGTTGTTAAATGATGCTTGAAGGTAAGCCAATGCCAATATAATTCTTACCTGATTTTTCTGTGTTAATTCGGTAATTGAAGTTCGACATTTCTGAAGTTCCTGAACATACACAGCAACTTCCTGTGGTCCTTTGGCGAGTTCAGCTTTTAACTGATTGATGGTAGCCTTAAGAAACAGAGAGACACAAAACAATCTCAGAAGATCAACTGCATCTCAGTTGGTTAAATTTAAAAGTGAAAAAATGATCTCTGGATAATCATCTCTAAAGCAACATTCTCTAGAGTAATCATCTTTACCATGACATCATTTCTTCAATTTTTCCATGAAAAGATGGAAACAATGTTACAATATTTATATGCTAATAATAATATGCCATTCACAAGTCTTTTTAGCCTTAATTTTTTTTAAAAAGAAAAATTTTGTGCTTACAGTATTACTAAAATAATAAGAATGCAGTATTTCATTTTTTTCTTGATTTATTCTATAGTTCACCTTTCCCACTTGGACTCAAGGTGGATTACACAATCAATACAATCGACAGGATGGGACATTCAATGAAACAATGCAATAGGAATTAGGGTTGTAGAACCAACCAAAAAAATCTAAAAACAGAACTGAAACAAACTGTAAGTATTAACATGAAACATTAAATGATGCAAAAATTACACAGTAAAATCCTAGTTTCAGCAAGCTAAACACAGTAGTGTAGACCATAGACCCTAATAATTTATTTAAGTAACTTTGTGGAACATTTACTACAGTGCACCTCTACTGCCTGTGCAGAAAAGCCCTCTTGAACAGTTCAGTTTTTCACAGCTTGCAGAAAGCCAGAAGAGCAGGAGCCTTCCTGACTTCCTCAGGCAAGCCATTCTATGTGGTCGTGGTCACAACAGAAAAGACACATGCACAGGCAGTTGTTGATTTTGCCCATTGCAGGTTGGCACCTGCAAGAAGACCCTACTCCAATGAATGAAGCTGTCATGGTGGAGTATTGGGGTGGAGGCAGTCTCGCAGATAGGAGGGTCCAAGACCATGAAGGGCTTTGTATGTGATAGCTAATACCTTAAATTGAGCCCAGTAACTGATGGGGCAGCTGTGAAGTGCCTGCAGGATGGGAGTAATACGCATGCTCCATCTAGCTCCTGATAAAAGCCGAGTCATGGCATTCTACACCAATTGGTGTTTCCAGATTGATTTTGATGGGAGAACAATGAACAATGCATTACTATAGTCTAGTCTCGATGTTACTGTGGGGTGGATCAAGCGGCAAGATCAGCGTCCCGCCGGCCCTCAGGAGGGGGGAGAAAGCAAAGTGGCGGGGGGGGGGGCTGTGTGCAGGCAGACAGATATACGTCACATATTTCTAGAGCTCATTGTATTGCTTTTACAACAAGCTTTGCTGCTAGTACTAAAATAAACTGCAACGTTTCACTAGCACACCAGAACTGGCTGTTTTCAGAAGTGATGCTTTAAACATTTGGCAGTTCTCACATTTATACTGTTTCCCCACATTTCATTATATTTATAACATGTTTGCCACTGACCAGAAAGCATATTCAGTTAAAAATATTATGCTCTTTCTCATTACTGCACCACATTAACAGAGTTTTACATTCTGGAGGTTTTAGCTTGCCTATGACAAATGGGACAACCTTCTCCATTTGAACAGGTGCAAAACCTACTCTGTTCCAGGACAAACAAGTGGCAGAAGTGGCCAGTGAAGTGTTTTACCAACCCAATTTATTGAATAAGCTCAGACCTTTGATAGAATAGATCTCTACATACTACATTCATGTTTTTTTCACCTGCAAGACTGACCACTGTAATGCACTTTGTACAGCACAGTGCCCATTAAGACAACACAAAAGCTACAATTGGTTAAAAATGTGGGTACCTATCCCATAACGGATATTGGGTATATGTGCTTTCAGGTTGAATTCAACCTATATACTTCAAGACCATCTTTAATAAGCTCTCTTAGCAGCTGCATTCTGTGGACTGGGCCCTCTCTCAAGTGCCTTTAGTTCAGTAGGTAAGAACATCCACTGCAAGGAAGAGATCATTTCTCTGATCACAACACCAAGTGATGACATGCATATGAAAAGGCACATTTTGAAGCACTTTTCAATGGAGGCAGTTCACAATTCTGAGAATCATTAAATTAGAAATAATTTACAGTGCAATCCTATGCCTAAACCCACTGATTTCAACAGGCTTAAAATCTGCATACGATCATGCTGTTTATGATCAAACAAGACACATTTGGATCATGATTTTGACTTCCCCACTTCTATGGTCAGATTTTGAAGAAAAATTAATTTCCATACACAAACATTTTGCATAATTATTATAATAACTGCAAAAATGAATTGTCTTACAATGTTTCATTACAAATAATACATAAATAAGTACCTATCTATTTTAACAAGTGCTTGAATCATCTTTGGAAAGTGAAGCAAGAAATGCAGATATAGGTTTCTGAAATATTACCTCAAGTTTAAAGACCTCCATTAGAAAGCAGCAAAAGTAAATTATGGGTAGATGGTGAAAGATAGCAATGATAAATGCAATGTTATACTAAACATATATTTAAATGAGATTGATTACAAGGTTTAACATTAGATGTTGAAAACTCTTTTTCCTATATTATATAGCCATCTTCTCTGAAGTTGAGATATTAAAGCAATATTATTTAATATTTTCAATTCAACCTCTGCCCAGCAAAGGTTTACATGTACCGTTATGGAATACAGAAAGCAAAACAACACCAATATCTATAACCAAAGAAGAAGATGGAGCACCTATCAATACTATACGAAAATATGTTACAAACAGTTAACAAAGTGATGGTAAATACAGAGCTGATGGTCAGACAAAAAGCTTCTGTAAATCTGAATGTAATTTAACAGTATAATCTTAAGCATGCTTACTCAGAAGACAAATCTAATGAGCTCAATGGGACTTAATCCCAATTTTGTATCTGAATCAAGTGGACTTGCTTAAGAGGAAACCTAGCAATTTTGAAGTAATGGTTCATCTTAAAGGGCAACTGACAAAACCAGTTACAGGAAAATTACATTTTTACTTTTTTTTATTGGCAAGTATCTGTAGCTGAATTTGTGTGAATCATACAAAATCTACCAGTATGCTTGGCAAAAAAACAGACAAAGTAGCCAGCATAATTCATTGTTAAGTATTGTAAGTGCCTTTAGGTTAAACACCTATTACGATGAAGAGGTACAAAATAAATTATTGGAATTTATGCCCAATGTGTCTAGTAAATAGATGCTGATAACTGTTATCTTTGAAAATTAAGAGAGTAAACAAGCTGAAAGAAAGCATCTGAAATCATGGTAGTTAATGATTAAAGACACATGCATTAACATGAATAATGGCTCCGCCCCTTTGGGAAAGTTTTCAAACTAAGTTAAGCAAGGAAGTGAAAACCTTTGACTTATGAATCTAAGCATCACGTACTATTGTTATACAATAAATATTTATTTCTTTTCATATGAGGACTTTGGCTCAGCTGCAGACATATTTCTGAATAGATTACCTCTGAGGTTGTACACTCGGCTCTCAAATGCTTGCACTCATCTTTCAGTTTCTCAGATTCTTTTTCACACTCCAAAGTCATCTTGTCCATTAATGTTTGAACTTGGACTAACTCCTTCTTTAAAACAGCAACATCTTCTACACCAGGCCTCTGAAGCTTTACAAAAGCAATAGCAATTAGTCTTATAGAAACCAGACTGAACACATGCTTTGAATGCTGGCTTTTCTGCACCATTGTATCTTGAACCAGAAGCATACAGTATTTCCAGCTCAATTTTTTTTTTACGTTTTTAAAAAGTTACACTTGGTGGATGACTAAGCTCTATATCATTTGCAACTGGATGCACAGAAACTGCTCAGAGAAGTTCTAGGTCAGGTGAAAGTTAAAATCTCCAACAGCTGTAGCTATTAACTTGTATCTAATTACTTTTGCACTGGATAAATCACATTTTATCAAAGATTCACAGTATATATAGGCATGCATGAATTACAAATTTTACCAGAAAAAAACATGCAGGTACAAAGCAGCCTGTAGAAAAAGAGGAGATTGGATTCATACCCCGCCTTTCAGTACCCAAAGGAGTCTCAGAGCAGCTTACAATCCTTTTCTCTTCCCCTCCCCACAACAGACACCCTGTGAGGTAGGTGGGGCTGAGAGAGCTCTCTCAAGAACTGCCCTTGAGAGAACAGCTCTGAAAGAACTTATGACTGACTCAAGGTCACACCAGCAGCTGCATGTGGAACAGTGGGAATCAAACCCAGTTCTCCCAGATTAGAGTCCACATTCTTAACCACTACACCAAACTGGCTCTCACTGTATATATAGAGAAGTTATAGAAATAAAATTTTAAAATTCTGAATTTAGGACAAGTGACCAGAATAATTTCTACCATAAATCAATCACTTTTAGTGATGAACAATAAATCTGTTAAAATCAAAATACAGTGAAAAGAATATCACACAGCCGAAAAGCATTCCATTTTAACTTGAAATAAGCATGATAAAACCATAGTCAAATGATGTTAGTTACCAGCTCAGTTTTTAAATCTTCGCATTGCTCTCTCTCCTTCTTTAGCTCGTGTGTCAAATATGTCACTTTCTGTTCTGCTGCTGCTCGCAGACTTGTTTCTTCATCATACTTGGCCTTAAGATCTAGTTAAGAGAAAGATCACACAAAAAAGTCATTTATTCTGCTTAAACAGAAACAAGACCCATATTATATCATAATTATGGGCACTTACCCACAATTTCAGTTGCCAGTTGGGCTGCTTTCTGTTCAAATAAGTCTTTCATCTGCTTAACATTGAAATTTTCTACTTGACTCTCTTCCAACTGACTTTGTAATGATTCCAATTCTAGAAGGAAGATACAGTCATTTAACAAACCTAAGACTACAGTAAGGTTTTCTAAATACCTATAATGATAAAACCTCATCAAATAAATAATTAACTTTTAAAACTTTATTAGGCTCTGGCTGTGCTAATGAACATATACCTAACTACTTTACTGTAAATGAAAACTAGTTAACCTATCTATCTTGAACTGCAAAATTTCTAAAAACCTCAGAGTGATAATGTGACATTCAATAAAGAATAACCAATGACTGGGTATATGCATTAGTAAACCATAATTGTTCTGTATAGGAAATCTAGAGCGGAAAAATATCTAGAATGCAAACACTATACACCACCACCTACAGTCTAAGGTGATATAATCTGCAGATTTTACAAGAGACTCTTCAGACTGTGTAAACTGGTCGTCATTTACTTGGAAGGAGGTTTCACTTGTTTCAGATGAACCCCTGCACTGAAAGATCTGTGCTGCCTGCCTGCCAAGACCCTAAATGGCTAGGGGTATGGTACTTGAAGCACTGCCTCCTCCCAACCAGAGACAAGACTTTTTCAGTGATGGCGCCTTGTCTTTGGAATGCACTCACCCTTGACCCTCACCTGGCACAAATCCATTTTCCTCTTTTCATTTTACTCAAGTGATGTTAATGGTGGTTTTTATTTATTCACAAACTTTATATCCCCACTTCTGCCCAATCAGGGCCATCAAGATTGCTGTTTTTATGCCCTAGCTTAGTTTGAATGGCTTGTTTGCACGAACATTCCGTTTTGGTTATGAGCCACTCTGAGCAGGTCTCTGGAGTCAGAGCACATACTTCTTTTTGTTATAAATAAGGATTTAAATGTAACAGATATTGGATCCTTCCTAGAATTTCCAGGCTTTGGTAAAAAAGATAACTTCTTCATTAGCTTCATAAAAAAAGATAACCAGGTATCAAACTTAAACTGAAGAGACTATGTTTAACAGAAGAACATGCATCAGGGGCACACTCTCTCCAAAGGAAATATTCCCTCCTCCTCCTCCTCTATCAAAATACAGGAATAATTCTATCGTTTCTGGAACTATAGGCTGGGTTCTAAACTAAAGCAGTGCACTGTGTGCATTCTGGAGTACCTGAAAGAGAGCTTTTTAATAGAAATATTTACACAATAGGCAATTCAGAGAGCAATCTTAAGCAGGGCTACTCAGAAGTAAGTTCCATTTTATTCAGGGGGGGTTACTCCCAGGAAAGTGTCCTTAGGCAATGGCATGATTAACAAAAGAAGAAACCAGGTTGCAAGAATGAGCCTTGGAAAATCTTCAGACTTGTGTGTTCTCTCCCATCACACGCAACTAGAAAGTTGAACACTTTCAGAACAATCCAGTTTGTCATTTTTCACAGTAACAGACTGTAGTTTGTTCTCTGCCCTCCAAACCAGGATTCCACACCACAGTTTTATCCTAGTGCTTCAGACAAAACAATGAACTATGGTTTGCAGTGTATTTAACTTTCTAGCTGTGTGCAAGATGAGAAGGATGAAGAAACAGATAACCCAAGGACTCCCCAGGTTTGTTCTCACAATTGTATCATCTCCCTTATAAATAAAAGCCGAATGGTGGTGGCACTTCTCTAAAACATTCCACACACTCCAAAATCAGTTCGCTCTCTCATCTGTCATTCACTGGCTCTTTGCCTGAGTCCTGTCTCCAACATTCTAAACATTTTGCTGTTCCTCTCCCCCCCCCCATAGCCAGTCAGAACACAAAGGTTATTTGCATATGCAGCCTCATTGGCCTTTGCCTCGGAACACAGAGGTTGTTTGCATATGCGACTTGATTGGCTTTTGCCTCTAACATTCTAAACAGTTTGCTGTTCTGAGGTAAAATGTGTCCAATCTCCAGGTGAGGGCTGGAGATCACTCAGAATTACAACTGCTTTCCAGATGGCAGCGATCAGTTCCCCTGGAGAAAATGGTGGACTCTGTATCCTTATATGCTGCTGAGGTGGCCCCCATATGACAGCCAATGTGACGTAGCAGTCAGGGCTTCAAAGCATGGGAGGGGCAGCAGGTGTGGGGGGGGTGGAAAGCTGAAGAGTGAGGGGAAAATAAAGGTAGGTTAATGGTTGGCTGGGCAGAAGATAGGGTTGCCAACTCCAGGTGGGAATTCCTGGAGAGGTGAGGGATGGAGCCTGGAGAGGGTGAGGTTTCAGGAGGCGTGGGACCTCGGACAGGTACAAAGCCATAGACTGCACCCTCCAAACCAACTATTCCCTTCTGGGTAACCATTGTTGCCAATCTCCAGGTGAGGGCTGGAGATCACTCAAAATTACAATTGTTCTTTAGGTAGCAGAGATGAGTTCCTCTAGAGAAAATGGTGAACTCTGTGTCATTATACCCTGCTGAGGTCGCCACAGCAAATTGACACTGAGTGTCCAAGGCCGGGGCACCCACACAGAGCCTCTTTCTAGAGACCGTTGTATTTATTTCCACAACGGGCCTTTTTCCTAGTATCAATATAATGCAAGAAGGGAGGATTGTGAGGCACTCCAAAGGGATCTGTTGAGGATGGGCGAGTGGGCATCAACGTGGCAAATGGGGTTCAATGTGGCCAAGTGCAAAGTGATGCAAATTGGGGCCAAAAATCCTAACTATAAATACACGTTGATGGGGTCCGAACTGGCAGAGACTGACCAAGAGAGAGATCTTGGAGTCATAGTAGATAACTCACTTAAAATGTCTAGACAGTGTGCAACTGCAATAAAAAAGGCCAACATTATGTTGGGGATTATTAGGAAGGGAATTGAAAACAAATCAGCCCATATCATAATGCCCTTGTATAAATCAATGGTGCGACCTCATTTGGAATACTATGTACAGTTCTGGTCACCACACCTCAAAAAGGATATTACGGCATTAGAAAAAATGCAGAAAAGGGCAACTAGAATGATAAAAGGGTTGGAACACTTTTCCTATGAAGGGAAGTTAGAGCGCTTGGGGATCTTTAGCTTGGAGAAACAATGACTGAGGAGTGACATGATCGAGGTTTACAAGATTATGTATGGGATAGAGCAGGTCAAGAAAGAAGTACTCATGGGCACTCAATGAAATTGCTGAGCAGTCAGATTAGAACAGATAAAAGGAAGTACTTCTTCACCCAAAGAGGGGGGGGGGGCAACAGTGGGAGGGCTTCTAGTGTCCAGGCCTCACTGCTGGACCTCCTGATGGCACCTGGTATTTTTGGCCAGTGTGTGACAGAGTGTTGAAGTGGATGGGCCACTGGCCTGATCCAACATTGGCTTCTCTTATGTTCTTATATTCTTAAGAATTAGGGATATTACCATATTCTGTTAATGGTTTCAATAAGAAAATCCAGGCTTCTGAGATGGGATACACCCCCACCCTGGTAGCATGCAACCAATCTGCAGTTGTGTTTTTCCCCAATCACACTAATAACATTTGATAGAATTACCACCATTCAAATGCATACCTTTTTTTGTGTCGACAGCATAAAAATTGCATTAAAAGCAAAAAACAAACAAATCAGGAACACCAGCAACAAGAATGGGTTAAACAAAAAGGTTCACTACAGCAAAACAGAAGATCTATTTATTCATCCTTAGGAAAAATGTGTTTAAGAGATATGGAGCTCATGCAATAATAATGAAGAGTAAGTTTAATAGACTGTGTTTTTCTCACTCATATTACTGGAATAATGATCTAAATAGAAACTGCTTTTTTAAAAAAGTTACCTGTAGATGCTGCAGTTGATGGCCCATCAGGTTTAGACTCCTTAAAAAGAAGAAACTAGAGTAAATGCTTAAACAAAACACTGGAGATAGCTGAAATATTTTCACAAGTATTTAAGAGATTTCTCATCGTGGAAGATGCAAAGGTAGTCACATCCTACAAAGCAATTCTAAGAGCAATTGATTTGGGCAGTTACCACTAGAAAAGGCCAAGATAATAAATACACTTATATGACTGAAAATAATGTTGATCTGGAATAAATTGCCTGGACTAACAAGTAGTGTACTACACATCAAATATTTATGCAAGAAGAGTCTATCTACCATGGATTAAGGCCCAATCTACAATGTGCTAGTGTTATGTAACTTCCATTTATTTTGTTGGATTTTAATCAGTGAATACAAGGTGTTCAGGGATTGCACTTGGTTTCATTTCACTTGCTTGTTACCAGTAAATACAGGGGGAAATGCAAAAAACCCTCAAATATCTAAGATTTGTTATTTCAGTTATTATTGTAACTAGTAGATACAAATCTGAACTAGTATAAATTTTAGTTTTAAAAGCACTTTAAGCAATCCCTCCCTAGCTTGTAACCATACGTACTACATTAGAAGAGACAGAAAGGAAAGACAGACCTATCAGAAAAAAGATGATGATGAAGATAGGAAATCTGATGAAGGAGATACAACACCACAATGGAGGGAAGATAAAAAGCAAAGTTCTGCATTATAAAAGCCCAGTTAAACAGAGAAATTCAAGTTCATAACCCAGCAGGTGCCAAAGGACAAGCAGGAAACAACAGAACAGGAGCGTAGAAGCTTCGTGTCTTAAAGTTAAAAAACTGGTCGTCCTGTTAGCACTACTGCATAGGTTGTCCATGGTATGCATTGTGAATATAATACATGAACATGACATTCTTAAATTACTGCAGTAAACAAGTTATGAAACTAACTGAATCAGGCCACGTGCCTTACAAAAAAAGGTATTAAATCTTCCATGTCAAGGTTGATAACAAACTGCTTGTTGCAAACCCGCTTCAAGTATTTTTAAAGCAATTACTTGCTGCCTCTGCACTTTTTCTAATTCTTTCTTCAGTTCTTCAGAGTACCATCGTTCCTCCTAAACAAAGAGATGAGAGCACAGTTTTGGGTATTTTCTGACACACATGACGAAGAAAAACTGCGTAACAAGTGAAGCATGCTTCCAACCTTAAGTGAGGCTTGCAAGTCTTGAACTTCTTGCCGGAGAAGTGTTACGTCATCTCTGAATATATCCCATGTTAAAGAGAAGGAGATAAATAAATATTTAACTGCAGTAATCACTTTAACACTATTTCTCTATTTAAACAACCCACTTGTCTTTAAAACCCCTATGACTTACTTTTCACACTAGCACCCATACCAGAAATTGTATAGCAACACAAGCAGCTTGATGTGCTGCCCAATCTTATGTGTGTTTACTCAGAAGCAAGTCAAACCAAGTTCAGTGGATTTACTTCTCTAGTAAGTCTGTTTAGGGCTGAAGCCGTAATCAGATTTTCAATAGGTACTCATCTTTTTCTATACATGAAGCACATACATTTATTTTTAAAGAAAAAAGTATATATAGAATATAAATAATAAAAAGTAAAATAAAAAGGTAAATTAACACATTTGATAATAGTCACAGCCATGATAATATTTTATGTGGAGAAAAAGCCAGATTTTTGTCATGACAACAACATGAACCTCGTTTCTTTTAGAGGTTTCAGTATCTGGAGAGCTGGATGGTAAGAGATAGTTAAATGCATTATATATTATAGCAGAACCACGTGATAAGTTTTACTGCTCCCTTAGCTTTCACCTTGTAATGCCTTAGCTCACGATGAGCTGAAAAGCATCTAGCCCAAGGGTGTCAAATATAAGGCCGGGGGGGGGGGGGGCAGAACTGGCCCGTCCGGGGCTCTTATGCGGCCTGCGAGCAACTGGTGCAAGGGAGGGAACAGGAGACTGCTCAGGGGGAAGTGGGCGGAGCCACTCTGATTGTGGCTTCAGCATGGCAGAAAAACCTCCTCTGCAGCAGTCAAGCGGCATGGGAGTGTCTGCCCAGTGCTGCACTGCTGGCTCTCCAGTCCACCCATATGGGTTTTCCTTTGCACTCCCCTCCCAGCCCATGGGGCCTTGCAGTGAGGACACACCAACTCGGAATTTACCAGCTGCTGTCCTATATACAGTACTTGGCACTATGTTTCATAGCACACATGGCCCAGCCCAACAAAATGACATTTATTTCAGATCTAGCCCTCATAACAAATGAGTTTGACACCTCTGATCTCACCACTATTGTAGACCAATGATTGCTTGGCTGAATGGCTAGCTAAAACATAGCCTAAAAGAGTCAAAGTCAATAATTTTGTTGTATCAATCACTCTTTAGCTCTTTCTTAAACACACTTTTCCCAATTAAGTTCCTTAGGACTACAATCTTTACATAGCACTTATTTCTAAGTGCTGGCTATATTGCTGAATACATAGAAAACTGGTTATTTCTCAATTTTATTGGAAAATAGGACAAATGAAAATTTTCAAGGTATGGGAATTGGTCCTTGATTTGAAGCCTGAAATGTACCTCTTAAATTATGTCGATATCATAACTACTGATTCCAGAGAAGTAAAACTATATACTCTGATCTTTGAGAGGATGGTATTCGCATGTTATGGGAAACAACCAGTGTTACCTGCCAAATCAGAATGGTTCTTGAAAGTGTGAGAATTATTATCAATAGTAAAACTAACAGCAATTCAGAATTCTAAGACTATTTTAGATGACAACAATTGGCAACAACTGGCTATATTTTTTTAAAAAAATCTTAAACTATTAGGAATAAATGGGTAAGAGAGGAATAAAACAAAGTTGCACTTACCTGTAGCTATTGTTCATCAAGTATCTTCTGTGCACACACACATGGGGACTGCACATGAGCAGGACTGCTGTTGGAAAGGTTTTACAAGTAAAAGCCTCCAAGGGGTGCTGCACGCTGGAGTCAAGGTCTTTGTTCCCGCCTGGGGACCATGTGCTCCCATGCAGCAGCGCCCCTACCCTCAGTACCTCTTACACCGCTGAAGTGAAGCATGCAGTGGGGCAGGAGGGAGGATGTGTGTGCCCACACAGAAGATACTTGATGAACAATAGTTACAGGTAAATGCAAGTTGTTTTCGTCATCAATCTTCTGTGCAGGCCCACATGGGGATTCTAGCAAGCTAAATAGTAGGCGGCAGGGCATGCTCACCTCACTTAAACATTGATTGAAGCACGACTTTCCCTTCGAGCCTCTTGTCTCACTTGCACATCCAACACATAGTGGCATACAAAAGTGTCTGCAGACGTCCAGGGAGCAGCCCAGCATATCTCTGTCAAAGGTACGCCATCAAAAAAAGCAGCAGAAGCAGCTATAGCCCTAGTAGAATGGGCATGAACCTCTAGGGGACATGGCACTTCTGCTAACTCATAACACTGTCTAATGGTAGAGACATTCCATCAGGACAGAGTTTGAGAGGAAGCCCTCTCCCTTTATTAGGTCCGGCAAAACAAACAAAAAGTGCTCTATCCCTAACCAGGACACTGAGGCCCAGCAGGGTTAGTGCATCTGTAATCCCTTTGATATGGGTGCCAGGGCTGTCGAGCAAAGGACCTTTGCTTGTACTGGGGAGTGCCAGGGAAACACCCCTAAGGATTTTGCCGTTTGCTTATTATTTTTTATTAGGGACAGTGTCTCATCTGTCTTGACAGAAAACAGCATAACACCCTCAAAAGGTAAGTCCTCTATTTTCTATTTGGTTTCTATTGGTAATGTTGTAGACCTCAACCAGGCATGCTGAGTGAGGACTATAGAACTTGCCATGGCCCAAGCTGCATAGTCCACCAAATGCCGGCTGGCATTGACCTGTTGTTTGGAAAGCTTAATGGCTTCCATCTGCAACACCTTTGCAAGGTGCCATTTATTTTTGGACAGGAGTTCCAGGAATGGCAAAATTATCTCCCACAGAAACAGATTTTGTCCTTTCAATTTCCAAGGATTGCACCATCCAAATCATTTGTTCCCCATACATGCAACGATCTTCAAGTAGGGGAAGCTGAAGATGCCTCTTCAATTGTCTTATAGAGGCTTGGATCCGATGCGGATCCATCAAAGTCAGCAGCTGTTCCTTCCTTTCTGTCAGGCAAAGGAGAGCAAGGCCTGCAGGACAATGCAGCTGACGGTGGGTACGAATGAGCTCAAAGAGGATAGGCATATAACTTCTGATCCCTCGTCAATTAAAATTGTCTCCCTACTCCTCTAAATATCCCAGAGACATCATATAGGGGTTGGAAGGCCATCATATAGGTGGCTGGGGTTGCACCTATGGACCTGACAGTATCTGCTTGGGTATGACAACATGTGGAACCTGATCCACTGGTAGGTCAGTTTCTATTTTCCCATCTGATATTGAAACCGAAGGCAAGCTCGGATTTGGGGACAGTGTCCTAGGCCTTTCCTGTAAGGCAGATGTCAGTTCCTGAATTCAGACTGGAACACGTTAGGTCACAGATTTATGCTTTTTTCTTAGAAATTGGTCTTAGCCTTCTTAGCTGGAAGCTCTGACGAAGCATGCTGGATCTGCAGAGAGCACGAGCCCAATTGGATCTGTTGTGACAAGGATCCAGGGGGCAGAGCCAATCGCAGGGTCCAAGGCTTTAAGCGCCTCTTCCTACAATACTCCTTCAATTTTGAAGCCCTATCCCTCCAGCTTTGGAGGTGAAGCATTGGGAGGCCTTACATGTGGTAACGTTATGTTCTTCACCCAGGCAGAATAGACATAAGTCATGCTCATCTGTCTAAGTCACTTTCGCAACACAACAAGTACACTTTTTAAAGAGCGCTTTCTGAGCCATAATCAAAGCCCAGGAATGAATAATCTTTGAAAATAATTCCTCACCAATCCAATGCTAGGAGACTCCCAAAACAACAACAGCAAAACAGGAACTGAGGGTAGGGGCACTGCTGCGCAAGAGCATGTGGTCTCTGGGCAGGAGCAAAGAATTTGGCTTCAGTTTGCAGCGCCCCCGGAGGCTTTTAGCTGTAAAACCTCTCTGACGGCAGGCCTGCCCATGCGGAGTCCCCATGCACAGAACTGCACAGAAGATCGATGATGAGCTATAACTGGGCACATTGTCTTCATGTGTTTCTAACCTGCGAACTAGATGTGTTGTTTGCTCTGTATACTGGTTCTGATCATGTACTGTTGCATTTCAATAAAAAATTAATTACAAAAGGAAATTGGTTGTTATTAAATTCTTCAAGCAGAGCCTCCAGAAATTCTGTCTGTAGTCTTTACAAGATGTTGAACAAACTGAATTTAAAACCATAATAGCGATACATGGAGACACAAAAAAGGTATAAAATCTTAATATATTATTTCAGTTTCCATATTCCTCTAATTGGCTATTAAGCCCCTAACATAGTAAACCCTCTTCATACAATAACAAAGCAGGTGGCTGCCACTGCCAGGTCTGCCTTTTTCCATCTGAGACAGATCAGGCAGTTGGCCCCATATCTCACCCCCCGGGATCTGGCTACAGTGACCCATGCAATGGTCACTTCCAGATTAGATTATTGTGAATCTCTCTACGTGGGGCTGCCCTTGACTCTGCTCTGGAAACTGCAGCTGGTGCAGAACGCAGTGGCACGGGTAGTGATGTCACTGCCTGTGCGGGCACACATCCGCCTGGTGCTGCGCGAACTGCACTGGCTGCCCATTGAGTACCAGATCCATTTCAAGGTGTTGGTGCTTACCTTTAAAGCCCTAGACGGCCAGGGGCCAGCATATCTGCAAGACTGCCTCTCCCTCTATGAGCCCCAAAGCATTTTACAATCGGCCAATCAACATCTTCTGATTGTCCCTGGCCCAAGGGACGTCCGTCTCGACTCAACTAGGGCCAGGGCCTTTTCAGCCCTGGCCCCTACCTGGTGGAATGAGCTCCCATACAAGATCAGGGCCCTGCGGGACCTTTTACAGTTCCACAGGGCCTGCAAGACGGAGCTCTTCTGCCAGGCTTTTTTAACTAGAGTGACAGATGTCCCTCCCTCATTTCTGGGTCTCCCCTCAGTGGGTCAGAACTGCTTACCAGAGATGGCATCTGTGAGACTTAATTCTAATGACAACTGCGCTGGCTGAAGGATATAGTTGTAACTTATTAGTGTTTTAATTGTATTTTTATCAATTCCTTTGTATTTTATATGTTGTATTTTTATTAAATCTGATGTAACCCACCCTGAGCCTGCCATGTGGGGAGGGCGGGATATAAGTCGAAGAAAATAAAATAAATAAAAACCACCACAAAATACCAAAAATAAGAGACTGAACAATTCAAAGAACTGAAAAGGCAAAAGGGATTTTATTGTCCTTCTGAATGGGGCAAGGGTATGGATCCACTGAGTTTCCCCCACAATGTGCCCAACTCCAGAGGGAATTCCACAAAGTAGGAGCTATTGAATCTAATGACAACACATGGTATTATTTTAGTACTTTCATTTGGGTTCCATACTATTGTAGAATTTTTTTCCCCAAAACTTAAACGCTAGCAACATTCTTTCTTTCTTTTAAATGGACCATCTATCAATTGTAGATCATTACATTTCACTTCATTAGTTAGTAGTCATTACTTAATTATGGTAAGAACAATAAAATAAAGAAGTCACTATTTAGCAGTACCTTTTCGGAGATATGTTAGATTCTCCTCCATGACTTGAATCAATACCAGAATCATGAACTGCTTCGTAGTGTTTAAAAAGTTCTTCAGCTGATCCATGAGATTTCATACAAAGAGGACAAATAAATCCCTATAACATGAAGCAAGAAAACATTTAATAATAATATTTTGGCTTTTTGTTTTTTCCTTTTTGTAGTGCTCACTAAAACCTCACCTAATAAGTTTACAGGCTTCTCTTTATTATTTCACATAACCACACAATACAGTTATCCGTGGCATGGTATGACAAAAATAAGGGATACCCTATTGTATTGCCACGGTGTTGTATTGTATTGTATTGCCACGGTGGCTTAGAGATTAAGACGCTGAGCTGCAGACCAGAAGATCTGTAGTTCAGCAGTTCAAGACCCTAGTACCGCATTACGGAGTGAGCTCCCGTCTCTGGCCCCAGTTCCTGCCAACCTAGCAGTTTGAAAGCAAGAAATTGCAAGTAGATAAATAGGTACCCTGCCAACCTAGCAGTTCGAAAGCGAGAAACTGCAAGTAGATAAATAGTTACTGCTTTGGTGGGAAGGTGCGTTCCGTGCATCTCGGCATTTAGTCACGCTGGCCACATGACCACGGAAACATCTTCGGACAGCGCTGGCTCTTCGGCTTGGAAACTGAGATGAGCACTGCCCCCTAGAGTTGGATTCGACTAGCTTTTGAGCAAGGGAAACCTTTCCCTTATTGTTTCAACAAAATAAAAAGGAATCTTGTGGCAAGACTAACAAATAAATTGTAGCTTAAGCCTTCATAGGCTAGAGCCCACTCTGTCAGATGCAGAAAGTGAAA